ACGAACCGAGGTTAGAATTTGACAATTTAAGGAGATGCCAAATGTGAAGAACTCCACTGGGCTCTGCGATATCTGAAGACCAAACTGCAAAACCTGAAAGAATTTGTCAATCAGGACGACGACTCGTAACTTGCGACCACCGGTAACGATTACCACCGTAAACAAACCTCTTCCCGTATATCGATATCCGAACTGCACCCATAAATCCCGTGGATGATTTCGCTAGTTCTGCTTCCCTGTACGAGTAATGAATATCGTCAATGAAATCTACGACTAAAGTCCGTAATTATAAGTAGCGAGCGGGACGGCTCACCTCGTTGGTCGTGCATTTGCAAATACGATTTATGAGAAGGATCTTTATCACATGAGTGGTTGCTAACATGATTGTGATATATACTTGATCCATTAGGCCGTGGCCTGTCGGTCTCGGACGCAGTTGGACCAACTGAACATATAAATTATACAAAAGTGCAGTGAGGTATAAGACGGAAATTCCAATTTCCGAAGTCATTTGTACGCCAAAGCTGGTGCACAGGGTCTTTAATACCCTGCACAGTTCCAGATGCACCTGCCTGAGAAAAGTCTAAGTGATAAAAAATACTGTATAAACCGCGTTTTTAAATGTTATGACGGTGAAACCTTGGCTACTACGAAATCGATTTTCACTTTGCAAAAATTAAGAAAGGAAAAATTGCCTGATTAAAAGTGACAAAAATTGTATTTATTGTAGAATGTAACGCTTATTTTATACTCCTTAATTTTTTATACTCGTTTGTTTTAGCTTTTTTACTTTAATATTTTACCGCATAATTTGTACTCACCTGATCGTTTGCAACAAGTGTGTGCGTCTCCGACATTTCGTGATCATGATAGATTTTCGGATCGAATTTGAATCTCTGATTTGGTTTCTGGATTGGCCCTGAAGTTTCATTTGTAACTGCTTTTGGAGCTGAAACGGTAGGTGAGATCGAACCCGCGATTTAACGGGATTATGTTTAGCCGGAACAGAAGTTTGTACTCGAGACTGCAGCTGCCGATTCACCTGAGACAGCATCTTTATTGAAAGATTGTTCTGATGTTGCTCAGCATCCATATATTTAACATAATCCTCTATAGTAAAGAAACCCAGCTTCATTCCTTCCATCGTCCGCATCGCTACGCCTTCGCTCAAAAGTTCATTAATTAATTTGAATCTCGTTTGCAGGCACCTACAATCACAATATCAAAATTACTAATACTTGTATTTTTAATTCATATTATATAATATATATATATTTTATTTATTATATGTTGCATATTATTTGTATATCATTTTTCCTTATTTTTTAACAGAACGGAACCTGTACGCCAAAGCGTCCCTCTTCTTCTATCTTTGCAAATGCGAACTAAAACTCATTGACCAACGGCATGAGACAATTTCATAAAAAATTCAAGGGAAACTTTAAATTTATAAATTCGGTCTTTAAATGCGACAATGATATGAATTTTTGTATATTAACTAAATAAGCAATTTTCGAGCAGAAAATACAAACAATAAATAGAAAATTTATAGCAGATTTCGAGCAGAAAATACAAAATAGAAAATTTATAGGAAAATGAAATATTAAAAGGTGGAAGTGGGAAAGAGCGAAGAATTAATTTCATCGGTACGCTCACCTCACGAATATCGAGAATTCGAAAGTGACGCACAAGCTGATACCTATTGTACACATATGCGCCACAGTTACCCAAATCACAGTTCGCAGATCTGTGCTTATCTGTTCCATCATTATGATAATTAAGGAGAGAATATACAAGAACCAGACGATTACAGCGGCGATTGACAAAAGATATATTTCACCGTAGTTGAATATTGATCCAAGTTGTTGCAATGTCTCGTCGATTTGGACGATTTTTTGGTAGCATGCGTTGATTGTCTGCGAACGCCAAATTGATAAATAATCTAAATGTGAGTGCAAAGACACCTTCTTTCTCAAAGACATAATTTGTCAGCACACCATTCCTGTGTTTAAATGCGTTTAACTTTCACACAAGTATGAACAGAAAAAATTTAGAACTCGATTCGGTACGTTCGTTCGCGCGCTCACCTTTGTGTGAAAGTGACCAACAACCATTTCATATATAACGATGAAGGCATTCACATAGATTATGAGCTCATACAAAACGTTCTCCAGCTTCAGCAGCTCAATATGCTTGAAGAAAGTGCGTTCTACGTATGTAGACATACAATAAATGCCGAGCAGGAGCAGGAGATAAATCACACTGGGGATGGCGCGTAGTTTCCCACGAGGATACTCGAAAATTCGGAGTCCCACTAGGTAGCCCAGAATCACAACCGGCGTTACCGCGTCGGACAGATATTTTGGAGCCGCGAATAATTTCATCTCGAAGAGTTTCCTTGCACAACGCACTTGGAGTTTTAATTACCGACTGTTGCATCGAAATTCTCAAAGGAAAACTAGAAAACTAGCACACATGATCGACAAAAGAACCGTGCTCAGTCGCAAATAATAATTATCTTATAAGACAACTAATCAACGTCGTCGATGATGCACGCGAAATTCCAATAATCCTCTTCTTTCCCGCGGGCAAGATTCCTCGCAAATTTTCGTATCGACTCAGCATTTCAGGGAAAATTTGGCAAATATAAAATCATTCATTAAAAGGACGTAAACACTCAGTAATCCACGTACTTGTCTCTTCCGATGTTCGAATTAAATTAACGCACGCACACGTATATATTCAAACACACGATTAATAATATCGCCAGTCACTGAGTTTCACGAAGCCATTCTACACAGTAGTCGACGATGATGTTGAATTAGACAGCAATACGAAGCTGACTATTTTCACTGCGCGCCTAGTTTGTTTTATCGCAGCACGATGGTTTATCCTTCGCCGCGCGGCCGTGGAGCGATTAAATACTTATTAAAAAGAACGTAGCTGCAAACGAGCCGCGATGGTAGGATATATCGTGTCAACAAGGTCAACTGCTTGCACAGAAAAGGGGTAATTTGTTGTGCAAACGCGCACGTAATTCTCCCCGGCCGTTCTAAAGCGAGTACAAGGCACGCGCGCGTAAGAAGCCGCCAGCTGGTTCAAAGACCGAGCAATAATTAACGAGCTATCGTGTATGCAGGTTTTTATTACGCCGCATGATAAAGGCAGGGGAGGGGGATATGAATTATATCCTACCACTTATAATCGCGTGTGAGATCGGCAGTCTTATCAAGTCCGAACGCCGAGATAATCGGGGACACCCCCGCGGATCGATGCTGGCGTTGCTTAACGAAATTGACATCCGGAAGAATTTCAACGAGGTTTGCCCCGCCTGTGAAATCGTAAGGATAAAAAGGGAAATCGTGTCGATTTTATTTAATTAATGATTGAGTAATGATTGAAAAATTACCATCTCGTTGCAAAATGTGTGTACGCTATTAAAATGCGCTGTACGCTGCCACATATAACTTTTCTATAAAGTTAATTACGTCTTCGTAGGAAATTTCGCGTCACCTGGCAAGTTAATTCAGTCAGGTAATGGCTGAATCACTCTTTTCTTTTTTTCAAGCGAAGCAACGAGAAGTCAGAGGATCGCTATGTATATCGAGACAAAAATATAATGAGTCTTTGACCGGCTCAAGTCACGTGGGAAAGCAGAAAAGGGCGGTTCGACTTGTGTTTTCGTACATTCCCTTAGCTCGACGCGCCAAATATTTGTCAAGCACGAGTTCACTTAACGTAATTATTGCCGCTAAAGAGGATAAAGTTGGAAACGATCGACAAGGTCGCTGCGGCAATCAAAAAGGACGCACAAGCCCCACAGGACCCTACCGATTAATATAGTCTGCGGTCGCCGAGCGGCGCCACGAGATAATTTACACCTCGTTATTACGACGACAGTACTCTTTACGATCCAGTGATCATTAGTTTCGTTCTTTCAACTTCCAAATATACCCCCATTAATTCAATTATCGCGAAACTCCGCCGAGCACAATATCGTGTGTCGTCGTCGCAATGAAATCCACTACCAGAGGAAACGTGTTATTAATCAAATCAAACAAGTATCGATCATTTCTGCACGAAGACAGCGCACACCGTCAGCTGTCGGCTGAGTTAAATAAATAAAGTTCCATTTTGTCTTCATTGAGAAAACAGCTCGATATTGAAAAGCTACGCGTCGGTGTTTCGTAAAGCGTAAAGCGCGACTATAAAATGTAAAATAATATTTAAGGTTTCTTTAGGTATCATACGATAAAAAATTAATTCGAAATTATGTTAAAATTAATTTAATTCGCTCAATAACAAGCAAGAAAAGACAGTTGTTTGTGAACCTACACAAGAAATCAGCCCCTTCCTGCTCAAGGAACATTAAGACGTCTCATGAAGTTTAAAAGAACTCAGATGTCTTTTAAATAGATATGTTACGTAGGTGAGTTGTTATTCTCTATATAGGTTTTTTATCTCAAATCTCGGTTCGATGCCCTTTCGCAGGTTGTCGTATGTTCTGTCTGCTTATGAGCGTTAATGCCTTGTATAAGCGTCCTTTCCTTCTTTGACGAAGACGTCTTTCCCGTCGATAAAGTTTATGACAATCCGATGCCATCAATGAAGACCCAATATTTCTAAAGTACTATGGAAGTTGCTATAATAAAGGACGCGGAAAGATGCATGTACAGTCTAGGATTCCAGGAGGAGTTCTAGGATTCCAGAGTTTCCTACGGTAACGGGAAACGACGTTAGCGACCGATGGATAAAGCGCAAGCTACAACGGCATCGAAAAGAGAACGATAATATCTTTTAACTAAATTCTCTTTTCTTAGCTATTTTACATCGTTTATTTTGCTTGGTTTCTATTTTTACAAGCTGTTTTGGGACATACACATTTGATATATATATATATACATTAACATACACACATACACGTTGATAATACTTTTATATACGGAAAGATAAAATACAGTTATCAATATTTATCAATTTTCCTTAATGGTTCCTGTTCATCAGCTGTTTCTACTTGACTCCAGTGAGTTGCTCATTTGTATCATGATAACCATATAAGTCGTCACAGTTTTTAAACACTGCGGACAGTAAAGCGTAAAATCACAAATCATCATTTGCTTCGACTGCAACAAGTAACATGCATTTTAAGTGCGAATCTACAAACCGTGCTGAGAAGTTGGCCATTTAAGCAGATGCCAAATGTGAAGAACTCTACCGGGCATAGCGATATCTGAAGATCAAATTGCTGAATCTGAAAGAATTTGCAATTAGAACGGCGACTTGCTCACGATTAACAAATATAATCGCGAAGATACCTCTTCTCGCATATCAATATCCGAGCAACAACCGTAAATCTCGTGGATGATCATGCTAGTCTTCTTTCCCTGACCGAATAATAAATATAGTTACTTAAATGATCATTCAAGCCCGTAAACAGAAAATAACGATTTGAACGACTTACCTCATTAATCACGTGTTTGCAAGCACAATTTATGAAGATGATCTTCAATATGTTAGTTGCTGTTACCAAAATCAAGACAGACGCTTGATCTACCAGGCAGAAGCCTATTGCTCTTTGTGGTCGTTGGATCACCACAATGTATAAATTATACAATAATACAGTGATCAAAATAACAGCGATTCCGATTTCCGTAGTGATCTGTATGCCAAAGCTGGTGCACAGTGTCTTTAATACCCTGTATAGTTCCAGATGCACCTGCCTGAGAAACGTCTGAGTGATACAAAGTGCTGTATAAACCGCGTTTTTAAATGTTACGACACTGAACCTCAACTACTTCGATATCAATTTCACTTTGCAAAAATTAAGAAAGAAAAAATTGCTTAATTAGAAATTACAAAAATTGTATTATAGAATGTACTCCTTACTTTATTCTCCCTAGTTTTATACATTCGTTTATTCTTCCTCTTTTACTTTTATTCATTCCATTCCTTTCTTTTTTTATTCATTTTAGCACATAATTGGTACTCACCTAATCGTTTGCAACAAGTGTGTGCACCTCCGACATTCCGCAATCGTAAACAATCTTCGGACTGAATTTGAATCTGTGATTTGGCTTCTGGATCGGCTCTGAAGTTCCATTTGCAGCTGCTTTTGGAATTTAAATGGCAGGTGAGATCGAGTCTACGATTTAATGATATTAGGTTTTATTGACATAAAAGATCGCATTCTGGACTGCTGTTGATTCAACTGAGACAATACTTTTATGGGAAGAATGTCCCGACGTTGTGTGCTGTCCATTATTTTAACGTAATCCTTCGTAACGAAGAGAGACATTTCTTCCGTCGTTGACACGGCCGCACCTTTGCTCAGGAGTTCATTAATTAATTTTAATCTCGTTTGCAGGTACCTACAATTACAATATCAAATTTATTAATATTTATATTATTAATTCATACTACAAGTCATATATTACTTATTTATTATATTATATATTATTTATACATTGTTTTATTTTTCAATTTTTGACGAAAGCACTTAATGTCGGTTCTTTCCCTTTCTTTGCAAATGTGCAATAAATTTTCGCATATTAACTGAACCGCATATTAACTCACCGAGCAACAAGATGAGATAATTAATGGCAGAAAATTAAATATCAATTTTATCAACTTGGTCTTTAAATACGATAATACTATTGATTATTGCGTATTAGCGAATTAATCGATTTTAGAATAGAGAATAAAAAAATATACTTAGAAAAAACGAAACTTAAGATCATAGGAATAGAATAAATAGAACATAGAAGTGATTTCTTAATTGGCACATTCATTCTTTGGTACACTCACCTAACAAATAATATGAATTCGAAGACAATGACGAAACTGATGTTTATTACATACGATTGCGCCACATTTATCAAGATCATAGTTAGCAGATCTGTGTGTAACTGTACCGACGTTACGATGATTGAGGATAAGATGTACAAGAACCAGAGGAACACAACACAGATGGACAAAAAGTACATATCGTTATAGTTGATAATTAATCCAAATCGTCGCAACGTCTCGTCGATTTGTGCGAGTTTTCGGTAGCACGCGTTGATTGTCTGCGAATTTACACGATAAATAATCTAAACGTGAGCGTGAAGCTTCTTTCTCAGAGACTCACAATTTATTAGCGCATCGTTCGCGTCTTTAAATGTGTTTTACTTTTCCACATAAGTAAGAAAATTGTTTAGAATTCGATTCGATACGTTCGCTCGCTCTCACCTCTGTATAAAAGTAACCAAGAACCATCTCGTACATAACGACGAAGGAAAGCATACAGACCATGGACTCGTACAAGATGTACTCCAGCTTCAGCAGCTTAATCTGCTGGTAGAAGTTGTGTGTCCTGTATATAGACACGCTGAAGATGCCGAGTAAGAGTAGAAAGTAAATCAGGCTGAGCAGGGTGTGCAGTTTTCCACGAGGATATTCGAAAATGCGAAATCCTACTATATAGTTTAGGGTCACGAGCGGCGCTACCGCGTCGGATAGACATTTCGGAGCAGCGAGTAGTTTCATCTCGAAGAGTATTCTTCTCTTCCTTGTACGAAAACTTGCGCTCAAGTAGAACAAGTTCAAACAGTCTCCTCTTCTTTCTCACGGACAAAATTTCTCATACATTTTCGCATTTACCAATCAGCCTTCACCGACATGAAGAGAGTGAGAATTTCGGAGAAATTCGGATAAAATAAATAACCGCCGCACGCAAAAAAAGGGTTTGGTCGGATTTACCAAATAGTGAACGAAACAAACGTTTATGAACGAAATTCGATTCTTGTAACTAGAAATTCCGTTTCCTTCAAACAAAAAGGCGTTTGGTTTGTTCACCGCCTGGTCGAACCAAAATTTCTGCTTCGATGAAACTTTTTTCCGCGCACGGCGTAAGCACATAACACGTGTATCTTATTCCTAATATTCAAAGTAAATTAATACACACGCATACGACGCGCACAGAGATCGACGATGAATCAGACAGCGATACGAAGTTCACTATTTTCACTGCACCCCTCTTTTGTCTTTGCCGAGCACGCTGACGGTTTATCCTTCGCTGCGCGGCCGAGGAGCGCGCAACTGCTCATAAATGATTATTACAGGGAATGAACGTGCGTTGCAAACGGCCCACGATGGTCATTGAAAAGCTGCATCGTGTCGACAGGGTCAAGTGCCCGCGGAGAAAAGGGATAATTCGTTGTATAAGCGTGCACGCGATTCAACCGGTTGTCTTGGTAGGAATACAAGACACGTGTACACAAGAATCGCCGGCCTGCTTAAAGGCGGCCGGGCGATAATTCACGGGATGGTCATTACTGTAGGCGGCTATCGCGTATGCTTCTTAATGCGTCAAATGATAAAGAAAGTGGAAAAAGATGTGAAGCATTTCCTACCATCTTTAATTACGTTTGAGATCGTCACGTCGAGATAACCGAAAACGCCTCGAGAATACTTAATGATTGCAGAATTACCGTCTCGGTACAAAATATATGTACAATGTATATGTATTTCGCAAGAATGTTGTTTCGCATTGAAAATGTGAAAATGATGTAATGATGAGAATCAGTATAGAAATTATGATAAAATGAAATTATGAACTAAAACAGACGTTAAATTGTGTGGAATAAATAAAGATACGGAAGTGTGCGCGATGTAAAGAATGCGATAGATATGTCAGGTGTCAAAGGTCTTGCAAAGTGTACATGGATCTATAGAATAGACACTCCATGTACGATTAATTTCCGTGTATGGAAGTACAAATAGAAATGAGTGCCTGGAATGCTCAGGAGACCCTCATCGGGCAGGTCGATATTTTGCAAAATGCTAAGTGCTGCTTATCTCGTTAACAATACCAGAAGACTTAAAGATATTATTCCTGTAGTTATGAAACTACTAACGTTTGAGATCGTCACGTCGAGATAACCGAAAACGCCTCGCGAATACTTAATGAATAGAATATTCTAATATATACTGAATTAATGAAGAAATTCGGTTCGATTTCTTGGCTTCCTTGACCATTTATATAAATAGATTAAGAAAAAAATTACTTCCGAAGATACTCTTAACTTACGGAAAGGTTATTTTAATGCGCCGAATAACACAGTTTACATTCAGTTATCGTGCAAATCCACGGCAATATTATGATTATTTAACATATTATAGAGCTTACGATTTCGAAAGATTTACATATTCCATAGATCTTCATAACGGCGCACATGTTGCAACAATAAAAGTTAATAAATAGTATAGATCTAAATTGAATGAAAAAAATATAAGTTGCAGTAATTTTTTGGAAAAATAGATTGGATACACCGTAGCGCGGAAACTCTTTTTTATTTGCTCCTCTATATAATCACTATATTTTACATAGCTTCTATTTTTTCAAGGTGTTTCAGGCCACACATAGTTTAGTATACATATACAATTATATACATACATATATATTGATAATTCTTTTATACACGGAAAGATTCTAAAATACAGTTACTTATCCATATCTACAATTCTTTTTAATGTCCATCCTGTTCATCAACTGCTCTTGCTCGACTCCAATGAGTTGCTCATCTGTATCATGATAACCATGTAAGTCATCACAGTTTTCAGACACTGCGGACAATAAAAGCGTAAAACATAAATCGTTACTCACATTTTTGCCTTGACCATAACAAGTAACACGCAGTTTAATTGCGAATCTACGAACCGAGCTGAGGACGTGGTAATTTAAACAGATGCCAAACGTGAAGAACTTCACCGGGTTCTGCGACAACTGAAGACCAAACTGCTGAATCTGAAAGAATTTGTCAATTAGAACGGTAACTCGTAATTCGTAATAGTGACAGTGACGATTATTATCGCGAAGAAACCTCTTCTCGTATATCGGTATTCGTGCAGCATCCATAAATCTCGTGAATGATCTCGTTGGTCTTCCTTCCCTATGCAAATAATAAATATCTTCTGTCAAAACAATCACCAAGTCAATGATCGGAAATAGCGCGCGGCACGACTCACCTCGTTTGTAGCGTGCTTGCAAATGCGATTTATGATAACGATCTTTAGCACGTTAGTTAATGCTAACATGATCACCACAAAGGATTCATCTATCAAACAGTGACCTACTATTCTATGTCGTCGTTGGATAAACAGAATGTACAAATTATAAAAAAATACAGTGAGTAATATGATGGAGACTCCGATTTCCGAAGTGATTTGTATGCCAAAACTGGTACATAGCATCTTTAATATCCTGCACAGTTCCAGATGCACCTGTCTGAGAAACGTTTAAGTGATAAAAAATAATACGTAATCCATGTTTTTAAATTGAATTGTCACAGCATAACGTTGGCTGTTTTCAGATCTATTTTCGCCTTGCAAAAAATTAAGAAAGTAAAAATTGTTCAATTAAAATTAAAATTACAAAAATTGTATTTTTTACCAAATGTGCCGTTCATTTTTCTTGCTCATTTATTCCTTGTTCATGTTCATTTTTTTCTTTTTTTAATTTAATATTTTACGATATAATTTGTACTCACCTAATCGTTTGCAACAAGTGTGTGCGTCTCCGACATTCAGCGATCATGATTGATCTTCGGGCCGAATTTGAATTTTTCGAATGGTTCTTGGATTGGTCCTGAAGTTCTATTTGCAATTGCTTTTGGAGTTGAGACGACAGACGAGATCGAGTCCGAGATCTAACGAGATTACGTTTTCCTGATACGCAAGTTTGTATTCGGTTCTGCAGCTGCCGATTCAAGTGAGACAACACTTTTATGGAGAGAATGTTCTTGCGTTGTTTGCTGTCTGTGATTTTTGCGTAATCCTCCACAGCAAAGAGATCCAGTTTCATTCCTTCCGTCGTCGACACCGCCGCGTCTTCGCTCAGGAGTTCATTAACTAATTTGAATCTCATTTGCAGGCACCTGTAATTACAATATCAAATTTATATATTAATATTTATATTATTAATTCACTATATATATGACATATTACTTATTTATTACATGTTATATGTTAATGATATATTATTTTATTCTTCATTTTTTATAACGGAACCAATTAATGTCAGCCTTTCTCCTTCCTCTGCAAAAGCGCAGGAATACGCTAATTTATTAACTAAATTTTTAATGTATTAATTAAAACTCACCGAACGACAGCACGAAATATTCACACAGAAAATTAAGAAGCAACTGTATGTTTATCGCTTTTGTCTTTAAATGCGATAGTGGTATTAATTTTCGTATTTTAGAACAGAGAATATAAAATAAAACGCATTTGGAAGAAGTGAAACATAAAAATACAGAAGTAGAAAAAGTAGAACATAGAGTAATTTCACCGGTTCACTTACTTCACGAAGATCGAAAACTCGGAGACGGTGACGAAACTGATGTTTATTGTATACATCTGCGCCACAATTACCATGATCATAGTTGACAGATCCGTGCGTATCTGTATCGTCGTTAGGACGGCTGAGGAAAGAACGTACAAAACGCAGACGATTACAGTGACGACGGACAAAAGATGTATTTTGTCATGGCTGACCACTGAGCCAAGTCGTCGCAACGTCTCGTCGATTTCGACGATTTTTCGGTAACATGCGTTGATTGTCTGCGAACGCCAATTTGCACGATAAATAATCCAGAGCACGAGCATGAAACTTCTTCTAAGAGACACAACTTATAAGCAAACTGTTCATGCGATTAAACGTACTTTATTTTCAAACAACTATGAAAACAATAACTGTTTAGGACTCGATTGAATACGTCAGCTCGCGCTCACCTTTGTGTAAAAGTAACCAAGAATCATGTCGTAAATAACGACGAAGGCATACATATAGATCATGAACTCGTATAAGACATACTCTAGTTTCAGCAGTTGAAATTGTTTGTAGAATTTGTGCTGCGTGTGCATACACACGCAGAAGATGCCGAACAGGAGAAGGAAGTAGATCAGGCTGGGCACGGTGCGCAGTTTTCCACGAGGATACTCGAAAATACGGAGTCCTACTAGGTAGTTCATAATCACAAGAGGCGCGACCGCGTCGGACAGATTTTTCGGAACTGCGAGTATCTTCATCTCAAAGAGTTTTCTTTTCTTCCTTGCACGAAAACGCAATCGGGGCTTTAATACACGGCTGACGCACTGAAATACTCGATGTGAAAAAGAACCAGCACGATCGGTCAATCAGCAGCAACCGAGTTCAGTCGTGAGTAATAATTATTTTTTTAAGAAAATACATTAACTTCAGCGAAAATTGCACACACAATTCAAATAATCCTCTTTTCTCTCACGGACAAAGTTCCTCGTAAATTTTCGTATCGATTGCTCAGCGTCTAAGGACTGAAAACGAATGAAAGTTTCGGAAAAATTCAGGTAAAATCATTAATTTGCGTGATGTAAGTACACAAAAGTTCACGTTTCAACTGATATTCAATTTAAATTAATGCACCCAAATGCACGTACGATTCGTAGTATTGCGTGAGACATTGAGTTTTACGAAACCGATCCGCACAGTAATCGACGATGATGTTGAATCAGACAGGGATAGGAAGTTCACTATTTTCACTGTACTCCTCTTTTGTCTTATCCGTGCATGTCGACGGTCTATCCTTCGCCGTGCAGCCAAGCAACGCACGAATGTTCGTAAATGATTATTACAAGGAATGGACGCGTGTTGCAAACGAACCACGATGGTCATTGGGGGGTTATATCGTGACAACAGGGTCAAGTGTCTGCAGAGAAAAGGGGTAATTCGTTATACAAACATGCAGTTCGTCTTAATGCAAGTACGAGGCGCGTACACGCAAGAAGCCGCCGGCTGACTCAAAGACTGGCTGAGCGATAATTAACGGAATTGGAGAAAATTTAAAGAATTTAAACGATAAAATTTCTATTATTTATAATATATAAACTATTTAATTTATAATATAAAATATCTTTGCATAATATTAACATAAAATCGAATACGTAAAATATTTTATAATTTAAAATAATAATTCATCTTTTCTCTTTGCATTGCGCTATGTAATTTATAATATTTTATAAACAGTATATATTGTATACGGAACAGTACAGTACACGAAACTAAATTTTTTAGATGCAGTAATCAACTATTTGATGGGAATGTATCAATTAAATTTTGACACGTGTCGTCAAAATCCTTATTTCAGTGTAGATTATATTTCCGTTCAATTTAACGCGCTTTACCTGCATATAAGCATTAGTTTTTACTTTACCTTACATAAACGTTCTTCACCTTACGTTCCTTGAGACGTGACGTAATTTTCGCCGATAAAATGGTCCCATGACAATACGATGCCACCAATGAAGATCCAATACTTCTAAATTGCTATAGAAATTCTCATAGTAATGGACGCGAAAGGTGCATGTTAAAGTCTATTTTTAGGATTAGGAACTCTTTTTCATTAGCTCTGCTACATCGTCACTATATTTTACATGGCTTCTATTTTTACAAGGTGTTTCAGGACACATATATGTTTAGTACACATATATATTGATATACATACACATACATTGATAATTATTTTATACACGGAAAGATCCCAAAATATAGTTACTTATCAACAACTTTCCTCAATGGTTTCAGTCCATCAATTGTTTTTACTCGACTCTAGTGAGTTGCTCACCTGAATCATGATAACCAGATAAGTCGTCACCGTATTCAGACACTGAGGACAATAAAGGCAAGACACAGATCATCGTTTGCATTTTTGTCTTGACTGTTGTACAAGTAACACACATTTTAAATACAAATCTACGAACCGAGCTGAGAACGTGGTAATTTAAAGAGATGCCAAATGTGGAGAACTCCGGGCTCCGCAATATCTGAAGACCAAACTGCTGAATCTGAAAAATTTGTCAATTAGAACGACGACACGTAACTCGCAATCAACAATAACGATTATCATTGCGAAGAAAACCTCTTCTCGTATATCGATATCCGGACAACATCTGTAAATCTCATGGATAATCTCGCTGGTCTTCCTTCTCTTCGCAAATAATAAACATCGTCAAGCAGAACAATCATCTAAGTACACAAATGAGAAATAGCACGCGGTACGACTCACCTCGTTGGTTGCGTGCTTGCAAACATGATTTATGAAAACAATTTTTAGCACGTTAATTATTATTAATATGATTACGTCAAACACATGATCTATCGTACCGCCCGCCGCTGTTTGTCGCTGTTGCAACAGTAGAATGTACAAATTATACAAAAAAAGAGTAGTCGAGGCGATGATGAACCCGATTTCCGAAATGATCTGTATGCCAAAGCTGATACTCAGCATCTTTAATATCTTGCACAGTTCCAGATGTACCTGTCTGAAAAACGTCTAAGTGATAAAAAAAATAATAGAAACTGTGATTTTTAATTTTATGACAGTAAAACTTTAGCCGTTTTGAGATTAATTTTAGCTTTGCAGAAATGAAGAAGGCCAAAATTGCCAAATTAAAAATAACAAAGTTATGTTTTTTACCGAATATATCGTTTTTTTTTTCTTCATTAATGTTTTATACATATTTATTTTTTCCTTTTTCTATTTAATATATTATTTTACGATATAATTTGTATTCACCTGATCGTTTGCAGCAAGTGTGTGCGTTTCCGACATTCTGTAATCACGACCGATCCTCGGGCCGAATTTGAGTCTCTCAATTGGTTTCTGCATTGGCCCAGAAGTTCCATTTGGAACTGCTTTTGAAGTTGAGGCGACATACGAGACCGAGTCCGCGATCTAACGAAATTACATTTTCCAGACACAAAAGTTCGTATTCCAGTCTGCAGCTGCCGATTCAACTGAGATAACACCTTTATGGGCAAAATATTTTGACGTTGCTGACTGTCCGTTATTTTAGTGTAATCGTCCGTAGCAAAGAGATCTCGTTTTATATCTTCCGTCATCAACACGCATTTATACAGAAGTTCATTAACTAATTTGAATCTCGTTTGTAGGTATCTGCAATTATATCAAATCAAATTTATTAATATTCATATTATTAATTAATATGTTACTTATTTATTATATATTATATATTATTAATATATTATTTTATTTTCAATCTTTTAACATAAGAACTTAATGTCAGTCCGTCTACTTTCTTTGCAATTACATAGTGAATTTTCAAAGGAATTAACACAATTTTCCGTGTATTAACTAAAACTCATCGAACAACAACACGATACAATTACATAGAAAATTAGAAATCAACTTTATATTTATCAATTTGGCCTTTAATTGGGATAGCTTTATTAATTTTCGTATATTAACTAATTAAGCGATTTTAAAGTAAGTGAATAAAATATAGAACATATTTAGAAAAAATAATACGAAGGTATAGGAATAGAATAAATCGTACAGAGAATAAAATCTTCGGCGCACTTACCTCATGAATATTGAGAATTCGGAAAAGACGATGAAATTGGTATTTATTATAAATATCTGCGTCACAATTATGCAAATCGTAGTTAGCAGATCTGCACGCAACTGTAACGACGTTGTGACGATTAAGGAGACGATGACAAATAACCAAACAATTACAATGCCGAATGACAAAAGATATATTTTGCTATAGTTGCTCATTGATCCAAGTTGTCGCAATGTCTCATCGATTTGGGCGACTTTTCGGTAGCATGCGTTGACCGTCTGTGAACACGAATTTGCACGATAAATAATCTAACTATAAGTGCGAAACTTCTTTTCTTACAGACACAATTTATCAGCACACCGTTCATGTTTTTAAATGTGTTTTATTTGATCACAAGTATGAAGGCAAAAAATTGTTTAAGATTCGATATGATAGAATACGATTTACTTTTGCTCACCTTTGTGTAAAAATAACCAAGAATCATATCGTACGTAACGATGAAGGAACACACATACACCATGGATCCGTACAAGAAGTACTCTAGTCTCAGCAGTTTAATCAGTTTGGAGAAATTGTATTGCACGTGTACAGACACGCAGAAGATGGTGAGCAAGAGCAGGAGGTAGATCAGGCTCGGCACGGTACGTAGTTTACCACGAGGATATTCGAAAATGCGAAGTCCCACGAAGTAGTTCAGCGTTATAAGAGGCGCTATCGCGTCGGACAGATATTTCGGAGCCGCGAATAAATTCATCTCGAAGAGTTTTCTTTTTACGAAAATGCGCTTAGAATTTCAATATCGACTAGCGCCCCGAGTGTGTGTCTCTATTCGTAGTGAAAGAAACCAGCACGATATATGATTCACCGATCAATAGCGACCGAGTCCCGAATAATTATTATCTCTCAGAACATCTCATTAACATCATCGACGGTTGAATACAAAATTCAAATAATCCGTTCGCATCACGCTGGTTTTTTTCACTTCGAGTATCTCAGGACGTTAGTATTGAGCGAGACAATGAGTTTCACGAAACTGATCCGCACAATAATCAACGACGACGTTGAATTAGACAGTGGTACGAAGACGACTATTTTCACTGTATCCTTCTATTGTTTTATCCGTTCACGGTCGACGGTCTATCTTTTGTTGCGCGGCCAAGGAGCGCGCGAATGCTCATAAATGATTATCACAAAGAGCGATTGCGCGTTGCAAACGAGCAAAGTCGTAATGGTCATTAGAGAGCTATATTTTATTGACGAAGTCCGGTGCTTACAGAGAAAAGGGATAGTTCGCTGTACGAGCGCGCCTGCGGTTCGTCCGATGGCCTTCATGCGAGTATAAGACACGTGTGCGCAAGAAGCCGTCGGGAGTAAGCTCGCAAACGCCCAAGCAATATTTAACAAAATAGAAGAAAATGAGGAAATTTATATGATAAATTTTCTGTTACCTATAATGCATGAACTTTTTAATTTCTATTCTACGGAATATTTTACTCCCGATCCTGACAGTGAATAATTCCTCTTTATTTCATTACGCAAGTTTTATATTGCGCTTAGTTATGTTCGAATCATATTCTATGGTTAAATAAGATCAATAGGCATTTTAGCTTACACAACAAAACGATCGTCTACGATTCCTGAGAGGGAGAAAAAGTTTTGTGAAAGTTCAATTTATATGCATTTGTCGTAATTCCGAAAAACTGCGACCGAGAATCAAAGAAGAGGGAAAATAATCCCGTTCAAGCCGCAAGCGCACAATTGGCTTTATAGGCATAAAAAAATTATATCAATTTGTCAGAGAAAATGAATTAGATGCACCGTTGCACGGAAACTTTTTTTATTAGATCCTCTACGTCGCCATTATATTTTACATAACTTTTATTTTTACAACGTCGTTTCGGGACACACATACGTTAATATACTTATACATTGATACTCATATATACTCATTGATAATTATTTTATATACGGAAAGACCCCAAAATACAGTTACTTATCAATATCTGTAATTCTCCTTAATGATTTACGCCCATCAACTGTTTTTACTTGACTCCAATGAGTTGTACATCTGTATCATGATAACCAGATAAGTCGTCACAGTATTCAGACACTGCGGACAGTAAATGCACAAATCATCGTTTGCATTTTTGCCTCGATTGTTGCAAGTAATTTCAAGTGCGTATTTCAAGGGCGAATCTACGAACCGAGCTGAGAATGTGGTAGTTTAAAGAGATGCCAAATGTAAAGAACTCCACCGGGCTCCACAATATCTGAAGATCAAATTGATGAATCTGAAAAATTTGTCAATTAGAACGACGAATTGTAACTTACGATCAATAGTGACAATTATTATCGCGGAAAAACCTCTTCTCGTATATCCGTATCCGGGTAGCATCCATAAATCTCGTGGATAATCTCGCTGGTCTTCTTTCCCTGCGCGAATAATAAATTGTCAAGTAAAACAATTATCTTAGTCCATAATTGGAAAATAGCATGTGGTACGACTCACTTCGTTTGTCGTCTGTTTGCAAATACGATTTATGTAAACAATCTTAAATATATTTATTGTTGCTAATATGATCATACGAAACGTTTGATATATCTGGTCATAGCTTGCTGCCTTTTGTTGCTGTTCGACCAGAATAAATGTATAAATGTATAAATTATACAAAAGTAAAGTGATCGTGATGATGGCAATTCCGATTTCCAAAATGATCTGTATGCCAAAGCTTGCGGACAGCATCTTTAATATCCTACACAGTTCCAGGTGGATCTGTCTGAGAAATATCTAAGTGATAAAAATAATGTGTAAATCGTGATTTTAAATATTGCGACAGCAAAACTTTAACTGCGAGATCGATTTCTACTTTGTTAAAATTAAGATAACAAAAAATTGACAAATTAATAATAACATAGTTGTATTTTTATCGAATGTATCGTTTATTTTTACTAATCTTTTTTTTAAACATGTTTATTTTTTTAAACATGTTTATTTTTTTAAACATGTTTATTTTTTCAATTTAATATTTTATGATATAATTTGTGCTCACCTGATTGTTTGCAACAAGTGTGTGCGTCTCTGACATTCCGTGATTACAATTGATTCTTGGATCAAATTTGAATCTCTAAATTGATTTACGTATTGACCTTGGAGTTCCATTTGAAACTGCTTTTGCAGTTGAAGCGACAAACGAGACCGAGTTCGTGATCTAACGAAATTACGTTTTCCAGCCACAGAAATTCGTATTCGTGTCTGCAGCTGTCGATTCAACTGAGACAACCCTTTTTTAGGAAGAATGTTTTGACGTTGTTGACTGACCGTTATTTTAGTATAATTCTCCATAGTAAAGAGATTCAGTTTCATCCCTTCTGTCGTCGAGACCGCCGAGTACTTATACAGAAGTTCATTGATTAATTTGAATCTCGCTTGCAAGTACCTGCAATTAAAAAGTATCAAATTTAATAATATATATATTATTAATTCATTTTATATATGTTATTAANATATATATATATGTTGTATTTTATTTTTTAACGGAAATACTTATTGTTAGTTTTTCTATTTTCTTTACGTTGTGAATTTTCTACTATATTAACCAAGACTCATCGCACAACAGCACGACAGAATTATAGAAAATTAAAAAGCCAATTTGGCAAATATAAATATAAATATATTTTGTATTTATCAATTTAGTCCTTAAATGGGATAATAATATTAATTTTCATATATAAACTAATTAAGCGATTTGAAAATAGAGAATAAAATATATAATATATTTAGAAGGTGATACGAAAATGTTGGAATAGAAAAAATATAACATAGAATGATTTTTTCGGCGCACTCACTTTACGAACGTTGAAAATTCTGAGATGAAGATGAAATTGATATTTATTATATATATCTGCACCACAGTTATGCAAAACACAGTTAACAGATCTATGTCCATGCGTAACGACGATATGATGATGGAAAGAACGTAAGAGAACCAGGCAATTACAATGGTGATTGACCAAAAGTATATTTTGCCACAGTTGATCATTGATCCAAGTTGTCGCAATGTTTCGTCGATTTGGTCCAATTTTCGGTAGCATGCGTTGACTGTCTGCGAAAGCGAAATTGCACGATGAGTAATCTAAACATGAGTGCGAAGCTTCTTTCTCACAATTTATCAACACACCGTTCACTCATTTAAATGTATTTTGTTTTTACACAAATATAAAAATGAAAATTATTTAAAACTGTTGGATTCGCTTGTGCTCACCTTTGTGTAAATGTAACCAAGAATCATCTCGATCGTAATAGTAGAGGCACACACATATATCAAGAACTGGTATGAGACGTAGTTTATCTTCTGCAGTTGTAGCCCCTTGAAGAGGTTGAAACCCACATGTAGAGACATGAAGAAGATACCCAGTAGAAACAAGAGGTAGATTAGACTGGGCACGCTACGTAGTTTTCCACGAGGATACTCGAAAATGCGAAGACCCACTAGGTAGTTCAGGGCCACAAGCGGCGCTACCGCATCGGACAGATATTTCGGAGCCGCGAATAACTTCATCTCGAAGAGTTTTCACAAAAACGCACTCAGAATTTTAATACCGACTAGCGTCCTGAAATACTCGAAGTAGAGAGAAACTAGCACACATGATCAACCAGTCAACAACAACCGAGTTCAGTCGCGAATAATTATTATTTCTTAGGACATCTCATTAACATCAACGACGATTGAACGCAAAATTCAAATAATTCGTTTCTTTCTCATAAAGTAACCGAGTTTCTCGTAAATTTTCGTATCGTCTACTTAACGTATAAAAACAAAAAGGAATGAAGAATTTCGGAAAGATCCAAATAAAATCATTAATTGGCACTTAAGCATACAACAGTCCACGTATTCGTCTCTTCTGATATTCGATCTAAATTAATATTCGCACGCGCACATATTATCATTAGTATTGTGCGAGACAATGAATTTCACGAAACTGACCCGCACAGTAATCGACGATGACGTTAAATTAAACGGCGATACAAAGATGACTATTTTCACTGCACCCTTCTATTTTTGTATCCGTTCACATCGATGGTCTATCTTTCGTTGCGCCGCCAAAAAGCGCACGAATGCTCATAAATGATTATTACAAGGAGCGGATGCGCGTTGCAATGGTCGTAATGGTCATTATAGAGTTATATTTTATCGACAGAGTCAGGTGTTTATAGAGAAAAGAGATAGTTCGTTGTACGAGCGCGCATGCGGTTCGTCCAATGGTCTTATGCGAGTACAAGACACGTGTGCGCAATAAAGACTACTGAATGGCAAAGATCCAAATGGGAAGAAGAGTGTATGCTATATACCAAATGATACGTACTTTTTAGATACACACGTATATACTCGTGTAATACGCTCGCATGCGACAGCTCCGTCGCAGTTAATATCATAATTAATAATGAAAAAGCTTAGTTCAAGCCGCAAGCGCAATAATTGGCTTTGTAGACATGAAAAAATTACATTAATCTGTCAGAGAAAATGAATTAGATGCATCGTTGCGCGGAACTTTTTTTTTATTACCTCCTCTACATCGCCACTATATTTTACATGGCTCTTATTTTTACAAGATGTTTCGGGGCACACATACATTTAGTATACATATATATCGATATATATACATACTCATTGATAATTATTTTATCCACGGAAAGACGAAAATACAGTTACTTATCTATATCTGTAATTCTCCTTTATGATTTACGCCCATCAACTGTTTTTACTTGACTCCAATGAGTTGTCTATCTGTATCATGATAACCAGATAAGTCGTCACAGTATTCAGACACTGCGGACAGTAAATGAACAAAATATCGTTTGCATTTTTGCCTTGGCTATTACAAGTAATACGTATTTCAAGGGCGAATCTACAAACCGAACTGAGAACGTGGTAATTTAAGGAGATGCCAAATGTTGAGAATTCCACCGGGCTCCATAATATCTGAAGACCAAATTGATGAATCTGAAAAATTTGTCAATTAGAACGACGAATTGTAACTCGCGATCAATAGTGACGATTATTATCGCGGAGAAACCTCTTCTCGTATATCGATATCCGGGCAGCATCTATAAATCTCGTGGATAATCTCGCTGGTCTTCTTTCCCTGCGCGAATAATAAATTGTCAAGTAAAACAATTATCTTAGTCCATAATCGGAAAATAGCATGTGGTACGACTCACTTCGTTTGTCGTCTGTTTGCAAATACGATTTATGTAAACGATCTTAAATATATTTATTGTTGCAAACATAATCGCGACCAACGCTTTTTTTAACTGGCCGTAGCCTGTTGCCCTTTGCTGCTGCTGGACCAGAATGTATAAATTATACAAAAGTAAAGTGATCATGATGATGGCAACTCCGATTTCCGAAATGACCTGTATGCCAAAGCTGGTGGACAGCATCTTTAATATCCTACACAGTTCCAGATGGACCTGTCTGAGAAACATCTAAGTGATAAAAATAAGGTGTAAATCATGATTTTAAATATTACGATAGCAAGACTTTAGTCCGAGGTGGATTTTTGTTTGGCAAAAATTAAAATAGCAAAAAAATAGCTGAATTAAAAATTACTTAGTTGTATTTTATAACAAATGTATCGTTTATTTTTTCTATTTATTTTATTTTTTAAACACGTTTATTTTTTCTATTTAATATTTTACGATATAATTTATGCTCACCTAATCGTTTGCACCAAGTGTGTGCGTCTCCGACATTCCATGATTATAACTAATTTTTGGTTTAAATTTGAATCTCTGAATTGGTTTCTGGATTGTCCTTGGAGTTCCATTTGGAACTGCTTTTGTAATTGAGGCGTCAGACGACACCGGGTTCGCGATCTAACGAAATTACATTTCTCAGACACAGAAATTCGTATTCGTGTCTGCAGCTGTCGATTCAAATGAAATATTTTTATGGAAGGAATGTCTTGGCGTTGCTGACTGTCCGTTATTTTAGTGTAATCCTCTGTAGCAAAGAGATCCAGTTTTATTCCTTTTGTCGTCGATACTGCCGCGTATTTGTACAGAAGTTCATTAATTAATTTGAATCTCGTTTGCAGATACCTGCAATTACAAAGTATCAAATTTAATAATATTTATATTATTAATTCATTTTATATATATTATTAATATATTATTTTGTTCTTCATTCTTTAACGGAAGAATTTATTATTAGTTTTTCTACTTTCTTTGCGTTGTGAATTTTCTAGTATATTAATCAAAACACGCCGGACAACAATACAAGACAATCACACAGAAAAATAAGAAGCAATTATATTTATATTTACCAGTTTAGTCTATAAATGGAATAATTATATTAATTTTCGTGTATAAACTAATTAAACGATTTTAAAATAGACAATAAGAAATAGAATATATTTAGGAAAAATGACACGAAAATATGGGAATAGAAAAAATGGAATATAGAATGATTTCCTCGGCGCACTCACCTCACGAATATTGAAAATTCAGAGAGGACGATGAAATTGGTATTTATTATAAATATCTGCGTCACAATTGTGCAAATCATAGTTAGCAGATCTGTATCCATGTGTAACGACGTTACGATGACAACAAAAAGAGCGTAAGAGAACGAGACAATTACAATACCGATTGACAATAGATATATTTTGCCACAGTTGATCATTGATCCAAGTTGTCGCAATGTCTCGTCGATTTGGGTAATTTTTCGGTAGCATGCGTTGACTGTCTGCGAAAGCGAATTTGTACGTTGAGTAATTTAAACGTGAATGCGAAGCTTCTTTCTCACAGGCACAATTTATCAGCACACCGTTCGCGTATTTAAATATATTTTATTTTTACACAAGTATGAAAACGAAATCTGTTTAAGACTGTTCGACTCGTTCGCGCTCACCTTTGTGTAAATGTAACCAAGAATCATCTCGTTCGTAACGACGGAGGCATATGCACACATCAAGGACGCGTGTAAGGCATGTTGCAACTTCAGCAGGTCACTCTTCTTGACTAATTTGTAATTCACGTGTATAGACACGCACAATATGCCGAACAAGAACAGGAGGTAGATCAGGCTGGGCACGGTATGTAGTTTTCCACGAGGATACTCGAAAATGCGAAGTCCCAATAGGTAGTTCAGTGTCACAAGCGGCGCTACCGCATCGGACAGATATTTCGGAGCAGCGAATAACTTCATCTCGAAGAGTTTTCACGAAAACGCACTCAGAATTTTAATACCGACTAGCGTCCTGAAATACTCGAAGTAGAGAGAAACCAGCACGCATGATCAACCAGTCAACAACAACCGAGCTCAGTCGTGAATAATTATTATCTCTTAGAACATCTCATTAATATAATCGGCGATTGAGCACAAAATTGAAATAATCCGCTTCTCTCTCACAAAGTGACCAAGTTTCTCGCGAATTTTCCTATCGACTGTTCAACGTTCGACAGAAAGAGAGAGAAAATTTTTAGATAAAATCATTGATTGGCACGACGTAAATATACAACAATCCACGTATTCGTCTCTTCTGATATTCAATCTAAATTAATAGACGCGCACACACATACATTATTGTTAGTATTATGGGAGACGATGAGTTTCACGAAACTGACCCGCACAGTAATCGACAATGACGTTGATTTAGACAACGATACGAAGCTCACTATTTTCACTGTTCCCTTCTCTATTGTCTTATCTGTTCACGTCGACGGTCTATCCTTCGTTGCGCGGCTGAAGAGCGCGCGAATGCTCATAAATGATTATTACACAGAGCGAACGCACGTTACAAATAAATCGCAATGGTCATTGGAAGGCTATATATTTTGTCGACAGAATCAAGTGCTTACAGAAAAAAGGTGGAGTTTGTCGTACAAGTGCGCGTGCGATTTACCCGATGGTCTTGACGCGAATACAAGGCACGTGTGCCCAAGAAGCCGCCGGCCGGACCAAAGAGCGATTATTAAAAATATGGCCCTTATTGTACGCTGTTAACGCGTATATTTTTTTTTTGCACTGGACATTAAAAACTGGGGAGAGAGACGTAATTTCCTACTACCTATAATCGCGTTTGAGATTATCACGATCGAGATAAAGCGGGCGCCTCGGAAATCGACTCTAGCGTTGTTTAATTGAGTAAGGTCTGATTGCCCTAATCATGTTTCGCTTTAAGCGAAACTTAAAACTTTAAATTTGTCGTACCAAAGCGATACCTAAAGTGTTTTAATTTGCGTTTGTCTTATTAATATTAGTGACATAATAAATACGATATTTTAATTTCTGCTTAAGCCAAAATAACATTGGTACAATCAGGCCTTGATTCTTAATGCCTGGTAAATTATCACTTTGATACAAAATGTACGCTATTAAAATGTTCCATACGTCGTATAACTTTTCCATAAGGATAATTACGCCTACGTAGGAAGTTTCGCGTTACCTTGAAAGTTATCAAGTCATGGTTAAGTTATTCCTTTCTTTTTTTTTTCCGGTGAAACAGAGGATCTTTACATATCTCGATGAAAGAAATAATGAGAGAATTGATTTCTCTGTAATTTATTCCTTATCACAACAATTACAACAATCGTATTTTCATTAACATCTTTTCTCAGGTTTGCTCGAATATTTTTCTTTAACGGACTTGGAAAGAAGGAACGAGGAGAAACGCCTTTTCGCGCTCCTGTTCTCCCTCTAAAACACAAAGATACCCCACGAAACCCGTAATCATGCAAATTGGTCAATCGGACTTCAATCTATTTTCAATCGGACGGGGTGCCACGTCTAAACTACAACCCCTGCGGAAATTGTACATGAGGGTGTTGACGCGTGTTCACAATACCACAGCTGATTTTTTCGCTGTGGCAAATAAGAAGGACGCACACGTCCCGCACAACACTACCGATTAATGCGTTCTGCGGTCGCCGAGTGGTGTCATGTAATAGTTTACACCTCGTTATTACGACGACAGCCCCTTTCTCGATCGGTCCGGTTGTTGTCGGTTCCTCTCTTACAGCCCGCCAAATGTACCTCTTTAATTCAATTATCGCGAAACATCGCCGATCATAATGTCACGTGTCTCCATTGTGACGTAAAACCCATTACCAGCGGAAACGTGTTAATCAAATTAAGAAAGTATCGATCATTTCTGTACAAAGACGACGTGCGCGGTCAGCTGTCAGCTGAATTAAATAAATGATGTTTAATTTTGTCTTCATGGAGAAAACAGTTCGATATCGGACAATTACGTTATGTAAACAATAAATAGTCTATGAACCGTTATGGAATGGTTCGTCTTCTTCTTACATGTCGTAAGTCTTAATTTCATATTTTGTTTCTGTTGAGAGAGAACTCATAGGTAAACTTGAATAATAATGTGATATAACATTTGTATATTAAAAGCACGTATACTTTTTGCATCACTAAATCTGCGTAAGATGGATTATATTTAACTTTACGTAATATAAACTATTAAAAATTGGTAAAGTTATTTCGTTCAAACATAATGACACAATTTTAATATTTTACGATTTAGTATTTCATGAAAAATCAATAGTGGGTTTGGAGAACTTGACTTCACATTGATAACAAAGGAAAATAAGTATTATTTATTTGTCGATGTGAGAAAGAGTTTGTGTAAACATTATGCAGATAATACGTCATTTATCCATGTAAACGTTATTTTAAAATCTACGGCACAAATCTGATTAAAGCTATTTTATACCATGGTTAACGACAAATGATAATTGTTAATGTAAAATTGAGATTTCATCATTTATGTTAAAGAACACCTCTTGCAGAGATCCTACATTTTTCACTTTAATTAATGTCTCATTTTAAATAAACTATCATCCATTTATTTTTGTATTGATAAATGCATCTTTCGAGTATATATTTATATAAATTTCATTTATAACAAAATAAGAATAGTGTTCGAGACAGTCGATTCTCAAATCTATTGTATTTAATTCTTTCTTCTACGGCAATGATAATTCCCTCATGGCTGTACCCGCAGAATTGGACGATCCGTTGTCGCCCTCCGATCGACACCGCTTTCGGCTAGTCTTGCTCTTCAAGTTCTTCAACAATTCTCGATGTCCGGAGTTGAAAGAATCAACGTACCACTTGGATCGTCGGGTTTTCCAAGTTCGAAACATTTCCGCTCTTACTTCGCTGTTTAGTAGACAGTAAAGTAAAGCCACAAAAGTACCCTGCAAGGATAAATGACACGAGTGTTAATTATACGGTAGAATAGATCTTTTGCCACATTACAATAGATACCTGGAAAGACGCGAACAGCTGATCGCAAAACATCCAGATGAGCTCAATGCGGTAGTCCTTATCAATGTAGTAAGATAATTCCAGAAACAGGGTATAGTGGGCTCCGAAAAGCGGAACCAAGACCATAGTCGACTTCGTCCACTTTCTAAATTAATTATATGTAACTATAGCGAAACTATAGCAAACACCGATGATAACGGTAATATTATATAAATATGACAATTTCCCTTTCAATAAGAGAAATCATAGAGATAAGATTTTCCTTTTTTCATATACACATCAAAATTAATGCACCAACTTGTATTGCATCTTCTTGTGCTGCAGGTACACCGATGTCTTCAGCTTCACGAATAGCATGCGAACGATGTTCAGGAACAGCACGAAATTGAACTGCAAGTTCAAAAGAGGAAATGAATAGAGGGAGGGAGAGCGAGAGTAGTATAGAATATTTCTATAATGCGAACGAATATTCCTATCTGATACGATTAACGTACCAAAATAGATATCATAATCGGTATTCTAATGATGCGAAAAAGCGAGGGATTGTCGTGGGTAGTCCAGCAGAGAGTATCCTCTATGGTGGCGCGTGTTACGATCCATGGCACTACTACCAAACCGGGAAGACCTGCAAGATGGTGAAGTTAAATTTGAACAGGATGCGTTGGAACTTGTAAAAGTCCAACGCAATCTCACCTAGAATCCAACTCACCCCAGCCCAAAAGGATATACAGCGTTATCGGACTAGAATTGGAACAAAGTGCCAAGACTATTAGATTGTGCAGGTATAATCCTTCCATCAGGATCCACGAGTAGTTCGCTATGATGGAGTATTGCCATAGACTCGTAAAAAGCTTGCAAACCCACGTCTAGAGATGTGAAATAGTCGATTAGCAAAGGAAATTTCGAATATTAGCGTCACATATATAAAATATATATCTATATATATATATATATATATATATATATATATATATATATATATATATATACACGGATAAAAAGAATTTTGTTATGTAGTTATTTCGCTGTTGGTAGCGAAATTTCGTCGTGGCTACTGCTTTTTTGTTCGACAGCAATGAAATTTAGTTGGCGTAACCAAAGTAGCGAAATATTCGTAATTAGAACAGAAACAGTTTTATCGTCAGTTAAAAAATATTCTGCTCGGTGAATTTGGACCTTAGGATACGTTAACTTGCTGTTAGAACAAAACAGTGTTTTCCTATATTCACTAATTTGTTCTTATAGCAAAATAATTTGTAAATTCAGCAGAATAATCCGACGAACGGCAATTAGTATTCTCAACCAATCGTTAGCTGACATACTTTAATTAACTTTTTAAAAATCATATTATGACGTTTGTAAACAATAGAGGAATTTTCCGTTCAGTTTGATGCGCTCTACGTGCACATGAGCGTTAGTGCCTTGGGCAAACGTCCTTTACCTCCTTGATGAAGACGATCTTCCCGTCGATAAAGAAGTCCCAAGACAATCCGATGCCATCAATGAAGATCCAATACTTCAAAAGTGCCGTGAAGGCCCTCATGATAAAGGATGCGAAAAGATGCATGTGCAGCTTATTTCGAGGATTCCAAAGCTTTCTACGGTAACGGGAAACGACATTAGCGACTGATGGATAAAGCGCGAGTTTCAATGGAAAGAGAACGACAACGTCTTTAGTTGGCCATGTAGGAGAATACACTTACCGAAGTGAAGAGAAGATCACCATAGCGACGATCAAGGTGATCAAGGATGTGGTGTATCCTATTAGCGACATTATTCTGATGATCCGCAACCATTTCTATGGAAAACACGGTGATGATATTTAAAGTATCAAACGACAAATGCCCTGGACGGCGACTATGTGGTTTTTTCCTTGAAAGCGGAAGCGCGAAAAGTCACACGATTCTATTATTCGAAATATTACATGATCGCTAAAGTCGTCGAGTTCCCGCGGAACTTTTCGCTTTCCACGTTTCCGCTCTTAGGGAAAAGTTACGATTATTATCCTGATGTTGAACAATCTCTCTTTATTTCATTATGCAAATTTCATGTTGCCTTCAATTATATTCGAATCACAGTTGAGGGAAAATATTGTGGTAAAAATTATCACAAAGTTTTTGTAATACTGCACTGTACCGGAATTGATGATGTGCGTAATAATCTTTAATGATGTATATCATGCGTACACATAACTAAAGGTTACAACGCACATAATTTCAATCATGATTCCGGTATGATCCAGCATTACAAAATTTCGTGGCAATTTTTATTATATTTTTTTCTATGTGGATACATAAGGTAGATAAAACTTACGGACAATTCCTCTACGAGGTCTCGTGAATATTTGAGCCTGCGGTCATCAAACGTATAGAACGTGCTACTCTCTGTGCACAGGCTCCAGAAGGAGCCGCTCACATTCTGGAACCTTTGGCTGTTTGCCAGACAGATTTTGCTGCTCAGGTTCCTCAGGTTATTACTCGTCAGATTGTGTCCCATAGACCAGGCGATTGGGCAGGATAAAACGGTCATGCCGGGCGAGAGAGTCCAGCAGGAATGATTCACCGCGATCGGCGAACATGGAGAAATCTCTACTTTGGTGTCGATCTCGTTGACGGTGGCATTCGCTTCCGTAAGGTTGTAATACCTTTCTGACAGGTGAAGCCGCTCCATGCTGTTGTCGAAATCGCCGAACAAGTTGATCTTGGCGACTTCCGACAGCACGAGCGAGTTCTCTCGTAAGATCAGGTATTTCTCGTTGACGGTGATAACGTAGTTATTTGTTTATGATACGCAAGATGATATGGATTTTGATCTATGATGACGCAAGATACGGATTCTAACATTTGAAAGTTAATTTCAAAAGCTACAAGCTTAGACCTCGATTGATTTTACCGCGGCATCGCTTTTTCCTTTTCTCAAGATAAACATATGAATATCATTAGAGACGCAGTTAGGAGTAAGAAATAAAGAATTGCATACAAATATTGTATATACGGATATTGTATATACGAAAGAATAAAGTTAGAAGTTCTCACCTTCGTTGAGAATATGATCGCATTTGCGTTGCTGTTCGGCTAAGAAACGCTTCAGTTTTGCAATTCCCATCGTGACGCTGAAAAAATAAGTAAGAAAAATACCGCTCCGATTAGACGTTGTCCGATCAATTTTCATATTTCGGCGAAACTCTTTCCGGTCCTTCATTCGCACTACTCATGAATTATTACATATGGATCACCATTGTGCATATAATACATTATGCTATTCTATTATTATTTAAATCTAAGTCGTGCGGGATGCTTTGTGAAAGAGTTTCCAAAACAGTCTGCGCTTTATCTTTTATTTCTTATTTCCGCTTTCGAAATTTATTTTTACTACCAGCGCGGGTCAGTCCTCTCTATCTTTCTTCAAATTTCTAGATTCCCCTTCTGGCCCTCAATTGTATTCCCTTTTCTTCTAAAATGGTAGACATTACGCGGATATTTGTATCAACAATTAAAAACGATTGAGAGTACAGATAAAAATACATAACATTTTAGGCGAGTGTTTTGTGGATTTTTGTATAAAATACTGTGGTTTGTTCTTTAAATTTTTATCAATTTTATCAATATATAGATTATGATATTTTATATAAAAAGTATAAGATATTTGCTAGAGAGATTCTTTTGCAACCGCAAAAGAAGTAAAACTTTGGAGGATGTTTTACCATCTAAACTTATATAATATATACGCTCCACTAAATGTTACGAATATATTGAATACGTTAAAATAAGTTGAATACGTTAAAATAAGTTTAGTTTTCTAATTATTCGGTAGATTATTTTCTTTCCAGCTTTGTCTTACCTCTGATTTCGTTTTTTCGCGCTCGCTTTTACTTTCCCCTCGTTTTGTCAAATTGCGCACGACGATGATTCCACAAGCGGTAGGACTTTCTTTAGAATGTTCACCTACGCGTTCGACTGATCGCGCACCTTCTGGTACCTTGGCTCTTCGCATGAGAATCAGGCGGCTGCGCGATCACACGTACACTTTTCCATACTCCGACCAACCTTCCTCTCTAGACGACGCACAAGCGGGGACCAATTCGGATAAAAATACAAGCAAACGAGTCGACAAGCGGACAAGGAGTATGCCAAGCGTTCCCCTGCATTAAAAGTAATTTGTTATCCATGCAAAGATTTGATCGGGCTGATGCAATCGCGGCGTTTATTCCTGAAGATAACCAAATGTACTTCATAAAATATATAAGGACGTAAAAAGAAATGAAAGTAATTTGAAATATGCGTATTGATGGAGGAAAGATAACCTCTTAAGTCAAAGAAGAAACGAGATTTCATCTTCCGTGGAAATGGACGTCGCGATTGAAGAAAGAACGTACAATTATTGCAAAACACACTACTTTATCGTAATAATAGCTATCTCTTTTTTATAATTATTATGTAAGCTCGATGTAATTAATTAATCGTTGATTATGACAGGCTTTATCCAGAAATTTTCATATCATTTCTATATCTATCAAATTTCGATGTACGCTCGGTGTGCATTTGCATAAATGTTTTTACCGGACGTAAATATTGTTTTCGCTCGACAAAAGTAATCCATCAAATATTAATATTCGAGAAACCTCTTTGACCAACCGCCGTCAATATTAGTATATCGGGATGACAATCTTAGCTTTTAATATATTGTGCCGTTTTTTCACTTAGTTTTCGCGGCAAAGAGTGGGGTGTAACAATGGGATTTCCAAAGATGCACTCTACTGAATCAACATCGACTGTTATGAGATGTACGCTCTTCAATCTTGCATGCAGGACATGTTTTATGTAGACACAGCTATGAAAGAAGAAGAAACCAGTATATCTAATATTTAACAGTCAGATATATTACAATAGCAACCTTTGAGAAAAAAGTACTTATTGTATTTGTGTGTGAATATTCTTTAACATAGATTCCGCTATTTTTGAGCAATCGGTTCGGAGAACTATCGACAATTGTGCTTTATTTGTATACATCTTGATACACGAGTTTATTATTTTTTATCCTGTATTTTTTATTTTTCATACATTATTTCATATATTATTTTTTTACTTTTTCTTCTATGTTAGAACATATAGATGTGACGCATATTAACAATCTAGGCTGATTGGAAATTGTAAACAAATCCAAGACATCTTCTTTGAGCCGTAGTTTTTTCGCGCACTTCGTCAATATTCGTCAATATTCTTTGACTAACTCCTTAATAATTATATTTCGAAGTTCGCAAAACTTTGATGCGCTCTATCTGTACACGAGCATTAATACTCTGTATAAGAGTGTCCTTTACCTCGAGTTTCCTGAAGAAGACGTTCCTTCCGTCGATAAAGACGACACTCCAGGATAATCCGATGCTGTCGATAAAAACCCAGTACTTCGGAAGTGATAATAGTTATAAAGAAGTCATAAAGACCTTCGTGAAAAAGGATGCGAAAAAATGCACGTGCAGCCTATTTCTAGAATTCCGGTGTTTAACGGGAAATGACGTTAACGACGGATGGATAAAACGCGATCTTCAACGACACCGAAAAAGATCGATAACACCCTTAGTCGGCCGCGTAGGGGAATATGTTTACCGAAATAAGGCTATTACGCAATATTCTGTGTCTATCATCTGACATACGATATAATAAATAAGAATATTCACCTTTTGGGGTTTATAGCCGGCAACACTTTTGTCTCTAGACAATATATTACGAACAATATCTCTATATTATACATATACATAAAACCACGATTTTTCCGACTATTTATTTATATATTTCTTTATCTAAATAGCGCATCGCACGATTGTACGAAGTTTGAAGGGCAAAAAAAATCCTTTTATCGTTTTAATCCTTTCATCGTTATTGACGTCTATATATGCATTGGATAACATTCACTGCACGCTGTCGGCATCTATAGGCGTTTTGTCGTAATTGCTCACCTTTTATATTGATGTCTATAGACGTTTGCTATGTTTGCAGTACGAAATATATATCATACGTAAACAGATTATTAAATTACTTAATATAAATAGTATAAATTCAGAAATTCGTCGTGCAGCGTCGGCTGCTGTTATAAATTCGCGTCGTACAGCGCGTGTTTGGTTTCGGAGGTTCTCACAGTGAAAGGGTGAAATATAAGCACGAAGATGAAGGGTATACCGCCTTGATTTAAATTATATGTTACTAATGACGTTAATTTTATTAATATAACTGTATTAAGAATATTATTCATTATATTGATTGTATTCGTATCGCACTGATGACTATTTAAACTTTTGGTCGTCCGCCCCAAACGAATTTCACATATATATCGTATCTCAATCCATTCGCGCGTTCCGCGTCATCCGCGTTCGCAGAGGGATATACACAATTTGTTAGAGCGACAGCACGAAAATAATGTTTGTGAGTCACTCACGTTCATTCGCACGCTTCGCACAGCGGTGGGCGCGCGTTCACACACAGAGAACTTGCGGGATTATTAATAAATATCGGAGCTGTAAGGTGCTCGTGACAACGACGAAAGACAGCAGGGTGACATGATGCAGCTCGCGCTATATCCTGATTCGTAATCAATTACGGCTCGAGATTGCGCGCGCAAGAATATTCCTCGCGCAGGAAATTGAATTTGTATAATCGATTCGAGTTAGACGGCAGTTAATCCGATTAGCATCGACGATGTCGTAAAATTCGAAGACTTCCTCGAACGGTAATTTCTACGGTGATTATATTTTCAGATCTTTCCGCCTTTTTTCCCCCTCAGATGAGAGAACCCGACGTGACATTTTCTATCTCTTAACCGACCGTTCAATGTAAAGCAAATAAAAGTTATTAAGAAATTAGTTGTGTAATAATAAAAATAATCAATTATTGAGAAATTAATTAAAGAAGTTGGCGAACGATTTCTCGTGATATGCTGGGACGAAGTTCTGCAAAGGCGACTCAAGGTGCACGTTCTGAATTTGTTTACAATCCGCTAACAACAGCGAACGTCGACAGCTTGCACAATAGTACATGCGTTCATGTATATGTTCGTAAATATGAAAATATACCTGTAGGTATGAAAATAATAAAACAATAATAAAATGCGAGACAATAAAAGAAACTCGTAGAGTGTCCAACGGTCGCCCGTCGTCATTACCGACAAATACAAAAAGGAACAGTTGCGAGGAGACAACGCCTAATTAAAACGCGAGTGTTTCTGTGAGAAAACGACCTTACGCACTAATGGATTAAAGTAGGAGGTGAAGCGGCTGAAGGATGACGTGAAGTATGGGCGGCCTTCCATCTTCTCTCGGCTCCTCGTAACAAACGGGCAGGCTGAATTGAGAACCCCGAGAACACTCATCGTCTAATAATAATATCTTGCTCAAATTTCTATTTTCAGGACGATAAGTGCGCGCGGCTTTTATATAAAAAGCCGGATCGGCATCGATGTGCGTGTGAGTGCGTATTACCGGGTTCGGCGAGCTGAGAAACCGGATGAAGGGGTGGGTGAGGGGGTGGGCCGAAGAGAGGGGGACGAGAGAAGATGAAAAGAGAGAGAGAGAGAGGGTGAGAGTAAGAGAGAGAGAGAGAGAGAGAGAGAGTGAGAATGAGAAGTGAAAGTACCGGAAGTTGGCCATAGTTGACGTTGCTGCATGGCCCGCACGCACTTTGTAAGTACGCCGACGGTTTACTCGCGTGAACAAATAGCCCGCGATGCGTAAACTTGTCGAGCTGGCAAATAACGAGCGCCTGGTGCACGAGTAAATTCGCGTTAGCGGGATAACAGAACGGCCGGGCGTAAAATGTCTCGGCAGGCTGTGCTGAAAAAAAGGGAAAAGAGCGGTGTCGTACGCATGGCGCCGTGCGCGCAACGTGTAAAAAGCTATGACGATGAGTAAAAAAGAATGGATCGAGAAAATAATAAATTAACAGATAAATAAAAAAGACGACTCTGCTTTCACCCCATGCGCGTTTCCCCATGCTTTCACCTATTATGCGTACGCAGGAGAAAAACGCTGTTGAATCGATAGAATTTCCAGCAGCACGCCGTAACACCGGTGGAAATCTTCTTGATTCAATAGCGGTATCATTGAAATTGATGCTTGAATTATGGAAACAATACATATAAGACGGTAGTTTTAACGATGTTTATGCCATCAATCAAGGAAGATTGATTCCAACGATGTTACTGTTGGAAAAATCTTATCGACTCAACGGCACTTCTTCCCGTGCATTTGTCGGGCGTTATGATTGAATTTAAACCTCGCCACCTTTCGGGGGAGCGAGAGGAAGACGAATTCTAAGGGCCGTACATTTTCTCGTTTTCTCACGCGATATGATATACCTTGCCAACTTTGATATTAGTTCGCGGGCGCTAAAAATAGCGACGTCGCGGAAAGATATCCGATATTTCGGAGGCATGTGCGGTACCGATCCACGATAGAACAACGCCGCATGTACACAGTCGCGAGACACCCGTGCGACACTTAACCGTGCACATTTGCACGTCAACGACAATATAAAATTGCGAGGAGGCGCGTTTGACAGATGCTCGTCACTCTCCGCGGATGATTGTGGCAGTTCCGCTAACGCGAGACCGAGAGAAATTTCAGCAGTGCTAAGCCGTTACACATCCCGGCCGTTACATTACGCTGTTAATTCCATGGCTTATATTAAGCGGCTGGTGTGCGATAATAATTCGACGACGACGACGACGTTGCCGTCGTCGGCGGCTTCATAACCGTAAGCGCGCTGCTCGCATGTAGGCGAGCGTAACCATATACTTGCGCCTTTTACATAAAGACACGTGTGCGCGCGCACACACATATCTCTCCTAAAAATAGAAATTTGAGCAAGATATTATTATTAGACGATGAGTGTGTGCGGCCGCGCGCGGCTTCACGGTACTCACTGCGGCTCGTTACGAAAAGCCGAGCGAGAGAGAGAAAGAGAGGGGAGAGGGGAAGAGGCAGAAAGAGAGTGCGATCCCCTCGCCCTCGTACCACGTTCGCCCACGTCCGTTCGCTCGCCACCGTCGAGGAATCCCGCGGCTGAGACGAGGGTGCCCGAGGACGCGGAAAACAGCCGCCCGGCCACGAGGAATCGTGCGGCCCGGTCGCGGTGGAAATTCCTCGGCAACGCTGAATTAGGAAAAATGCTCGCATTTCTTTTACCGCCGCACCCTTCCCGTTCAATCGAACTTCGTAGGAGAAGCACCGACGCCTCCCGGTTACTCCCGCGATGAATCGACGACGGTGAACACATCTTGACGGAAAGTTCTCTAAGGAAGAAAATTATATAAAATTGGGGCGATAATGATTACCATATCGAATATCTTTGAAACGTGATAGCGGGAGAAAATTTTATGAACTGAATTATAAACGAAAATTTTCTAATAGGAATCGCATTGATATCACTGATCGTCACTTCCAATACCTTCTGTAAATTTAAACTTTCTCCATTTAGTCGTTGATAAAATATTTTTATCCTTTTAAGATATTCCAGGTGGTAATAGTTATTGTCTCACCCTGTATATTCGCGTTTGCACTGTCGGATGTTGCTTTCCTACACGGAAACAAATATTATAGTAAAAATTAGTACAAAAATTTGTTACGCTGGATTATACCAGAATTATTATCGAAATTATTATATCTATTGTAATCTATGATGTATGTACATAATGTTCATCATTAAAGATTACAGCACACATTATAATTTCAGTCATAATTTCAATATAGTCCGGCATTACAAAATTTTTTCATCATTTTTACCATAATATTTTCTACGTGTGCAATTAAAATTTAACAGGAACATCTTGTGTTCCAATCGATCAGGTGCTCGCGTGCCACGATTTGATGCTTGAGAGGGCTGTTAGATGCAAGATTTCAGGTTATAAATATCTTTATCGGAGGGATACGTAGGAAGAAGACGAAGCATATATTAACAATCAATATCGACGTGCTCGGAATCAGGTGCCGTTTTCATCGGCACGATATTCTGTACGTATGATGCACGCGATCCCGAGACTTCCGAGGCAATGATCCCTCGTCGTATCGGAGATACTCCCTGAAATTCGATCGTCATTACATTAACAGCCGGCGAAATTATATTTATAAAGCCGGCGGATATTCGTAGAAGAAAACGAGTGGCCGCGTGTGGGTGGCGTTCAAACGACAGCCCCGCATATTTTTGCCGTGCCTCACTAACTGCGGACACCCTACGGGATTCTTCGTGTGTCTACCATCTGCGATGTATTTTTACACATTTCGCCGCGACCGTAATTCTCCCCGAGGGCGGAACTTTCCGTCGCGAGCCCGCGGTGATTTACACCGTTCTAAAGTGGGTCAAATGAACTCTTTTGCTCTTATGTGGACATAGTCCGCGTAGTATCACGGATATCGTGATATCTCCAGTTTTCCACGATAGCCCTTACAACCATTTGTCCCGAGGAAAAATGGAAACTCTCGATTCGGAGATCCGAGAGTCAAGGACTCCAGGTTTAGCCTTTTTATCGGCAGTTTGACACGTGAAATCTGAAAAATCATCGATTCCTCGAGTATTTATTCTTCTATATTTATTTATATTTTATAGATAATATATACTGCTATATGACGAGATTCTTGGGTCGCAAGCGACGTAAATGTTGATTTCATCACGTTTCGAGGTACTAATTCGTAATTACGATTTATTAGCGTTACAGTACAACAGATTAAAGTTTTATCGGGTCGATCGTGTCCGGCCAGGAATAGGAATATCGCGGTAATAGCTCACATTTATTACTGTCGCCGGATGATACAACATGTATCTGCGTCACATGTGTCACTCGCTAGACTGCGAGGCTTCCTACCAAACAGACGAGTCATGCTCGGTATGTTGAGAGATCGGTGGTGCAGAGATCATTGAAGTGCATCATGATTCATCGCTTAAAAATACGTGAATAAAAGTCTGAGATAAGTGTCGGACGTTTAACGCCCCTCCTGTCGAGACGACGTTAGCGGTATATCTGTCTGTATGATTCCGAGGTACCGATGTATTTATTCTTGGATGTTTACTTCTCATCTTAATATTCGATTGTCCTTATCGGCTGTTGTATAAACGTCATGAATTTTACAGGAAAGCGCGTAAATGAGATCTTTAGAACGATTAATGCAATTTGTTTCTGAACGACTTATTCTTAACGTTGAGCTTATAAATTGACCAAGTCCGATCGCAGGTAAAACTTGGTGATAAATGTAATTTGAAGTATTAAAGAAACATTTTCATTAGTGCAGTATAAATAAGGTGCAAAAACACATAAAGCTATTCGAGAAGGTATCCCGAGGGAGCAAGTTTCATATAAAATTATCAATTTCTTTATTCATCTTCTGCCTTTTGTAAAAACGCGCAATATTTAAGTCCCTTCACTCTTATTTAACAGATCGCATATAAACTTGTTATAACTCTCCTCGGGCGAACATGAAGTAACGGACGGGCAGAAAATTATTATATTATGATAATCTCCAAAATCTATGGCAAATATAACTTCGAAAGAATAGAAGAATGCCTTATTATGCCTTATCACCGATAATAATGAAGTCATTCTTGAATAGCCAGACCGAAGCGTACAGCGAAATGACGATCCATTCTCTCTCTATATATGAGAATATGAATCTTGAATTGATACTAATTTCTTTTCTTACTAATTATATATTTCGTACTTTTCCATATTATTATAAAAATGAAGTCATTATTACTATTGTTGTTAAATTTGTCCAGACTTTCCTTCCGCCCGTTTCTTCGCTCACGCGCAATTGACGACGAACAATTAACAATGAAACGGCCGGTGGCCGTAATTCGCGAGAAAAACGAATCACGAGTCGCGAGTATCGCCTCTCTGTCACGCTGTCTACATCCTTTGGACATCATCAGCGCATTCGATCACTCTTTAGTCACTTTATCTCGTAGGCTACCCGAGTTCCCGTTGCCCTTCGAGGTCCACCGCCTCCATCGCCGCCACCGCCGCCGCCGTTACCGCCACCGTCGGCGTCGTCATCGTCGTCAACAGCACTGACGTTCCCGATGCACACGTGCCGTGTGCAAAGCCCGGGCTATGACTAGGACGTTCCCGACGCGAGCACAGTCATTCGAATCCAGTATTAGTGCGGTGTAGAGTGCTCGGTGTTTTGTAATCCACTTATTCGAATTGTTCTCTTTCTCTCTCTCTCTCTCTCTCTCTTCCTCTCTTTTTCTCTTTCTCTTTCTTTCTCTCTGTCTATTTTTTTCCTTTTCTCGCGCAACTACGATCGATTAGTGGTGAGTATCCAGATAACGGTGTGGCGGATACGTACTACTACTATTGCTGCTGCTGCTGCTGCTGCTACTACTACCACTACTATTACTACACTAGTACACTGCTACTACTGCTACTATTGCTACTATTGCTACCACTACCGATGACACTACTCTTCTCTAGCCGCATGTCGACCGATTACCGGCGATACCGACGTAAACGACCCCGCAACACCGGGTGATATATGCGCGCAACACCTCTCTTCGTATCGCTCGAAGAAGTGCATACGGGGTTGCTCGTCGGGAAACGTGATTTATCTCGGCCTCGTGATTTGTCTGTTTTCCTCGTGTTTCTCTCGCGCCTCGTCTCGAAGAGGGAACCGCGACCCGAAAATGGTGTCGCGCGGTTTGTACGTACCGGGAGATCGATCCTCGGACGTATATATGTGCGGAAATCGGCACAAGTTTCGTTCCGATAATTACCGAGATTCGTCATAAGAGAGCGGACTCGGTTGAACGGTGATTCCTCCGGAGAATCGACTCGCAGCTCGCGCTCGAAACGGCGTGATTCCCTCCGCTTTGATTCAGGTCGAGAAAATCGCCAACTTGTGTGCGGCTCGGAGAACTTCAATCGCGATCTCTGCTCGTAATTCAGCGATCGATTGGCCCGTAGAAATCATTAACACCCTGCCGATTTACACGCCTAGTCTACCGGATCATCGAGTTTCCCCTAATTAAGTCATACCGCGATTTCTTCGGCAACTCACCCTCGCGGATCCAGCACTCGCGCGTTTCTCAATCACGTGCCAGAAAAATGGCGCGAGGAGAAGTTCATTCTGACTTCGAATTAACTTCTTTCTGAAGATCCTCTCGACGCTACGATGTCTCGGAGATTTTCAGGTTGAGAGCTAAATCCGAGCTCGAAGTGAAACGTCTCAGTAATTTTGGTTAATAATGCAGAGAGAAGATTTAGTTAACGGGGAATTAGCGCTAATTAATACAGCCGGCCGTATGGATGGACAGGGTAAAGAGTGTCGTACTGTCTAGAATGGATATGGCATGATTGAACATCTAATGTCCTTAAGATCTAATCCCGTGCGGCGATATTAAAATAGAGTCGCGATCACTGAACATAGATTTCGCATTACATTATAATTCGAATGTCGAGATATTAATAAGATTGATTGGAACCAAGCTGAATTATGCTCGATCGTGTTGTCGCATATGGGAAACGTTAGGGAGGAAAGAGAGGGACAAAAATGTAAACACAGCGACGGGGAATAACAAACTTCCGCAACAGACGAATCCCAGAGCCGATCGAATATAATTGCCAGACGTGTGTCTTAATAGGTTATAATTGGAACTACTTATACAAATTTCAGTATAGTTACATACGATAGAAAATAAATTATATTTTCGTAATAATAATAAAAAAAGAAAATCTCATAAAGACATATATTTAGTTTTAATATGCTTTGAACACTCTTTTGCAGTTTAAAACACAAAGTCGATAGTCCAATGAATTTGTTTTTGATTAATTCTCAGAAAGTTAAATTTTCCCATTAGGCCATCGGCTGTATGTTTCTAATCGTATAAAAAAAAAAAAAATTGCTGAACCGTTTTGAAATCGAATATATATATAGTATCAGGTATAATTACGGTTCATTAAATTTTTACATTAGCGATCGTTTTACATCCGTAAAAAGACATATTAAGTATAATAATTCTTGTGATTTCTAAGATTTCGCAATAGATTATAAGCGATACTCTCTTGCGGAGTTATTGAAAAATAATTGAGCAAACACATGTTCCGTGTAAAAATGAAAATTAATCGGAAAGTACCTTGCTGTCATAAAAGTTATTATTACCACGCGTATCCGCGAATTACCAGCCTCGTTAATTTTCAAAAACACGCATACATTCCTCTTGCTATTATTAGTTAACGAAACTCGGTCTCTCTCTCTCTCTCTCTTTTCGCCAACCGACGGCGCTAATCGGACTAAGTTATCAAATAAATCCAACGAGCGAAATATCATTATTACCTTAAATGAACGCTATTAATCGAATAGTCTCGATGCTTATTTCATAAAATCGTTACACGTCGTCTATAATCGTATCGTCACTCTCTTGTGAGCCAATAGCTAATTGCAAAACGTAAATCTGGATTCGAACGTGAATCTCCGCATGAATTTACTAAGAGACACCGTTACTCAAATATTTATGCGATAAACGCGGTAAGTTTGCAATGCATTAAAAATACATTGGAAACGTCAATCTGTCGGGGGAANGGGGGGGGGGGGCAAGGACTAAGAAGCTCTAATTTCCACGCGGTAACTTCTAATGAATAATTAATTTTATTATCCACAAATCGATATGTACTCGGGGAGTAATGTTACAGACATGGGAAAAGGATGGATCCTCGCGTGAAAATATTCAGGTGCCTCCGTGCGGGCCGTGATGTAACACGAGATATCATGTTACATTCGAAATGTTTCGCTATACCGGGCGTTGTAATTATACGTCGAGTTATCGGACGCCGAGATTTCTTTATAGCGCGACCTAATTTTAGAATCCTGGTTTTGTACGGGGCTCGTGCTTGCTTATGTTATCCGGATGTGATTTATGGGGCCAGCCTGAAACACGATGCCGCGATAATATTTCCAGATACTCGCGAAAGCGTTAGAATCGTGCGAACGGGGATGAGAGAAACAGAGACAGAAAGAAAAAGGGAGAGAGAGAGAGAGAGAGAAAGAATTACTGTTAATAAATCTTATCGTTTTATTGCGGCCGTTTTATGGAATTGAATAATCGATGCGAGAGAAACGTTTTTCAAGATCCGCATATGAAATCAAGGACTTTTGCATCTCGCGATAACTATAGCTGCAGAATAACCTGTTTTCCCAACGGTAGACACAAAGTTCAGGCATTTTGTGAAATTAGCTTCCCCGGTAATCGCCTGGTCGATGATTCACCACCGTTGTTAGTGCCAAGACTTACGCATATCGCATGCTACAATTGTTTCTTAACCGTCTAACTGTTTCTATCGCAATTACAGCTCTTGTCACGCCGCACGCTCGTCTCGATCTATTTTATAACGACATCCAGTATCCGTGTTATTAGTTATTCGAACCGAAGATCACGGTACGCTGACCGGTGTGCGCTTTAATCACATAGCAAATTATCTTACAATAAGTATATATGATAAATCGACACATAAATGATAAGATATACGATAAATATCGGTATACATAAATAATAAAATGCATGTTTTACGATATTTTATGATATATTTGGTATATTTCGAATTCAAGTGAGTCTCGACTTATTCCTTTTTTTTTATTTTCGCGCGTAACGTAAAGCAATTTGGACGTGTATAACGGCATTCTACTCGCGACGTGGCAGGATACCCGAGTTAGGTTACACCGTGCATTCCATACGTCCACGAATATGCGTGCGGATTGAACGGTAGGGGTAACGAGAAGACCGCTCTACCGCGGTATACCTAGCGCCTTCCCTAATACGGCCTCGCGAATTTGCCTGCACGCGTCTGCACGGATATAGATTCCCGCAGACTCTCTCTCTCTCTCTCTCTCTCTCTTTCCCTCTCTCTCTTTCGCTCTCTCGTTCTCTACCTTACTCTCTCTTTCTCCCTACTATACCACTCGCACGCTCCGTCAGTCTACACCACTGCGCCGTCATTATTACCGACCGCTACCACTGCTTATTTGCCGCACCACTATCGTCTGACTTCACTGCCAGCGGAGAAGGCGCGTATTTGCACAACGGAAAAACGTGAAAGGCAAACTGAACATATCGTCATTGCACAAACGCAAAAAAATTGCAAAAAATGCTATAATTATATATTAAATATTGATACGTTAAATAATATGTTAAATAGTAAACATTAAATATATATATATTAAAAACTATATAGTGAGATACATTAAATATTAGTTATGTATTCAAAAATAAAGTTATAACAATTGATCGTACATATTATGTACTTTTTTTAATATACCTAGTTAATATCGTTGTACCTGTATATTTTTCACGGAATATAATCGCCGGATTATTAACGACGGCGGCATATTACACTGGTTGTACGTCGTTGCCAAGTGTACGCTCACCTATTATTCCGTCGCCGCAACTTTGCTTACTACTCGCGCAGAATATTGTTACTGCGGATATACGTTTAATTGTCAACGCTGCCAAATGGCGACTACGCACGCCCCTGTTAACATTCGTGCCAGGTGCCATCGCGATCTCGTTCCGGGGATTGTGTCAATCAATCACTGTTTACTTTTGCTTTTTCGGCAACAATGACGAATGTAGACATTCATTTGGAATAATCGGAGATTTTTTTTTTTCCGTCAGTGGTTAAGATTACTAATATTCTGACAACAAATAATACAAATATTATCTGTAATATATAGACTCGGGAGCGAAAATATTTGATTATTATTTCTTTACGTATTTTGGAAAGCAGTCGACACCTAATGGAAGAATTTGACGGTAATTTGATGCGAGGGAAATATCCGTTCTTATTCGTCTTGTGCTCAGTATCTTAAATTCATTTGACTCTTCGTGGTATACCACGCTTGAAATACTTTTCTTCTCTCTTTCTCTCTGCACGGTCCATCCTTCCACATGTCCCAATCGTGCGCGCGCCTTAAGCTGGCACAGAAATAGAACTAGTTGCCGACGAGTCGGACGAAAATGCAGATTGTTTACGTCCTCATAAGCGGTCGGTTAGGTAACCGAGGTGGGTTACCGTACCAGCGACGACGCCTCGGTATTAATAAAGGCATCCGATTCGATTCCACCCTCGCGAATTTTGAATTTTGAATCTGCGAACCTCCTTCGCGGGGAAAAATGCGTTCCGATTCAGTGAAACTTTTCCTGAAGAGTGAACGTGCTTTTTAATATGTAGGCAACTATACAAGACATTAATTCATACGTAATTATGCATCAAATTATTTATTTTATCACGTAAATATTTTTTTCATGAAAATTGTTATGCTTATTCTTACTTGTATTTGCATTGAAACACATCGAATTTGAATCCGGCCTGTATATAAATCGAGCTAAAGACTATGTTTCTGGTAAATGTTAATTAATAACTAAAGTAAAATTTTGAGTCCCTCTTTTCAATTAAAAAGTTCTATTATGTTCAGATGGAAATTATTCAAACGGCGTCGGCGACGTGCGTGCGATAATTTGTTATATATTCGACAAACTGACATTATTTTAGTTGCATGTATATGTGCTTGCGTGTATCATTAAAAAATAACGATACGATATGAAAATAATATACGACTTGACATAACGTGACTTTTCGCGACAAATAATTGATGTAAGCGCAGCGAGATACACAGCGAATAACGAATTTCTCTTCTCTGTGTAGTGTAAAAATGCCTTTCAAGCCGGTGGAACACCCAAAATGCCCTAAATGTGGCAAGTCCGTTTATGCTGCGGAAGAACGAGTTGCCGGTGGACAGAAATGGCACAAAACGTGCTTCAAGTGCGGTGAGTAAACAAACATATAAATTTCCTGCGACTACAATTTCCTAGGAGGAACATGAATAAACCTTTTCTTATTTATATACGAATCAGTAAATTGCAAATCTAATCATTTTTGCAACTTGTGAAAGTAGAGAGAAGAAAAAATATATACGTAGGAAGTGTAATATCTTTTTATGATATTGAAGTTTTATTTTGTCAAGATTTTACGTTTCCTCAATTCGAAACATCACTCGTATTATTTCTCTAAATAACGACTTTCATTTTTAATCCAGACAACAGTCGAAAGAAAAATATTTTCTTTAAAGAAACTTGAAAATTGATAATTGTATGAGTTAAATCGGTGCATTTGCGTCGATAATTGCTCTTCAAATAATCGCAACCCCGAAATTGGTCTTCTTATTTGATCAATTTGGCGACGCGTTTTTCCGTAAGGTAAAGAACCTGCGACGATCATCGAACGTAGCCTCATATTTCCATTACGGGAAACAATATCGAATCTTCTATTCTTAGGTCGGTCTAAAATAAATTTTGTGTTCGTGTAATCCGTCGCGATTCCTAACCAGGCCTGCGTGTTGGCCAAAAATCAATTGATGGCTGTCGGGTAACAATTCCGGGTGCAATGACCGATGTGAATAATTCACAACAATCTCAGTGTCGAACATCACATTTTGAAGGCACTATGTGTGCACAGTGTCTATTTCTGAAATAGCAAAAGTATTGTCCATTCTTGACGAGTAAGTCGTAAGCAATTATTTACGCTTCTTGCGATCATATTACAATCGATCGCGAGCGTGTATCTTCGATTCTTCGTTGCGTGCTAAAAACAGAAGAAGAAAATACATTGTAAGTTCTTTTTTAAACACGTAAAAAATATACAAAATATAAAAAATATGTAGTATATTAAAATATGTAATATTAAAATATATTGCATACATTTTTTGTTATGTACTATTGCGACCATATAAATATAAATGTAGCCCTTTTAGCTGAAACATTGTGTCGATCGAGTGTTAAGACGACATTTCACATAACATGGCAAATATATTCCAATGTTAATCAATGTAACATTATGTGTAATCATATTGTATATATAAATCTTTTAGTCGTTCTATTGTTTTATAAAGTATTTCTGGTTAAAGCACTTCTTCGTACGAGTGCGATATTATTTATTTTATTTGAATATTCTGCGCACTTATTTAATCTAAATTAGTAGCGGCCATTTCGCGGGGTTGTCCACGTTCTTAGGAGAGTTCGTTTATTCCCGCCGAAGAGGTACAGCTTGTGCGGTCTTTGAGAGTTCCAACTTTTGTATCAGCCCCTTATTGTCGCGGCCAATGTTGGCTAACATTCGTTTATATTTGCCACGTCATCTAAAGCAAGTTCTGCGCGACAAGCAGAGCATCGAACGTAAACAACACTTCCGTACATGTTCCATATGTGGTGAGTTCACTCAAAAACCTACTCGAGGCACAAAAAATCATCATGCTTAGTCTCGCTTCCTGCAGCCTGCCTCAGCTCGAGAAATTCATGAATTTCAAGCCGGCAGGACCCGAGTCAAAATTTTAGTTCTACATTAAGTCCACTTAGTTCTACGTTAAATCTTCAAAGCTTTTCTATCGTGCTCTTTGGGTGCCATAAATGGGAAACAGTTTTCCATTTTCTCCACTCGAAGGCTCAATGTGAAACTAAGAAGACTTAATGCAGGGCCAACATTTCGGGAGGAAGCGAGCGGGAGTCTCGATCCCGATTCAACTAATCTCTCCCAGTAGACACGTCAAGACACGGTTTCGCAGAGCGTACCGACATTCGCGCGCCCGACACAACCCGTCCCCGAGTAGCCCGAGCAGGATAGAAGCGACGTAATCTCCAACGGCGGCCGACGACCGTGTGTTGCAGGTCTTTGCGGTAAAGCGCTCGATTCGACAAACTGTTCCGAGCACGAGGGCGAGCTGTACTGCAAAATCTGCCACGGCCGCAAGTTCGGCCCTAAGGGCTACGGCTTCGGTGGCGGAGCTGGCTGTCTCTCCACGGACCAGGGCGAGCATCTTCAAGCGAAGAGCGAGTGAGTGCATCTGCTGTTGCTCAACCCCCCTGGACCCCGTGTACCCCTCTCCCCCTCATTCCCGTGTAGCATACCTCAACGCGCTCCCATCGGAAGCATCTCTGATCTATTGCCCATCTCCTCGCCTCGCCAAGCCTCACCTCTCCACATGAAACATCTTCCGCGCGCGAAACTGAAAACCGCCGACCGACCAACCAACCGAAACAATCGACCGTCCAACCAACCAACCGACCAACTGTCGTGAACGTCCGCAATCCGTCAGCACGATTCTCCTCTTGGTCAGTCGCGCCCACAGCAACTCGGAAGAAGACGCTACCTGCGCGAACCGAACCAGGAACAGCCGGAGAGCACGCGCATCTATACATACGTGTAAAGCGTGTCCGACGCATATATACGCGAACTGTGCGTCTCTCTCTTTCTCTCTCTCTCTCTCTCTTTCTTTCTCTCACCCTCTCCTCTCCTCTGGGCCTTCCTTATATTGAGAAATTCCCTTCCGAATTCCCGAAGCACATATGACGAAGAGAGAGTCTTCTCGTCCATCCCGCTTTCTGTTGTTTCTGTCCTTCGTCTTCTCTATCGTGAAGTTAGATCTAGACGGTCCTTTACGTCCCGATAGTTGAGTCTAGACGGTCCTTCAGGACCAGACCGCTCTGTCACCACCTCACTTTCGTAGTCTTGCCGTCTCATCATTGTAGCAGCGTAGGCGAGCATGTCGTCTCGTACACACCTCCATTCTCTTCGAGAGATGAGAATTCTCCCGCATCTGTCCTGTTCTCACCTTGTCTCGCGTCGTCGTCACGCCCCGACACTACGGACGATGACGACGACGAGCCCGCGGTCATCGCGAACGCAACATTCGAACTAGTCGACTACTCCAGTCCAGTTGAACCCTTTCTTCTTCCCCTTCTCTCCGTTCCTCGCAGTCTCTCGGTGCGACCGGCCGGCGTTTGCCGTGTTGTCCTCGCCCGATCGACCGAATTAATTTATCTCTCTCTCTCTCTTATCTTTTTCTTTTTCTCCCTCTCACTCTTTCTCTCTCTCTCTCTCTCTCTCTTTCTCTCTTTTTCTTTTTCATGCCTGTCGTCTCCTCTTTCTTCTTCTCTGCGTTTCTTTCTTCTACTATGCGAATACACGTGCTAGTTTGTAGGATCATTTGTACCATCTGTAATAAGTGCCATTAAAAATGGAAAAAAGGGAATGATAAAACTGGAAACAGAACAACTAAGCGGTGTCTTTCATTAACGAGTAACACGGAACACACGTTTCTCCTCGATATATACCCTTACCTCTCAGTGTATAGATCAGTCGATGTATGAGTGACGTGCGTAGTGAAATAACGAGCCTGTTCTCCGCGCGGAACGGAGACGCGGTCTCGATCAAAGTGGCGCGATTCAAACGCGGCAAACGGCCCTTTTCTTATTTTTATTCCACGATTGGACATCGGAAACGGCCTACGAATTCCCTGATATTTATTTTTGAGTGTGAGCGCGAAAGTACGCTCCGATTCGGTCGTCACCGCGAACAAACGCGAAGAGGTCGTTTCCGTCGGCGGCATCAAAATTCCAACTCCTCGAGATACCGATTGGAACTTTGACCGGGCATCGAGCGACCGTGGCTCTGTTCTCGCGCATCCACGAAGGTGGAGTGTGCACTTTACCCTTGTGGATCGCGTGGGTGTACCCAACACCGCGCGTACTTTCTCGGTCTGACGTCGAGCCCTTACCACGAAACATCCTCCCCCGTCCTCGACTCTTCGTTTCCCCCCTCTTCCGGCCCTTTCTTCGCGAAGAAAGGGAGCGAAGTGTGCGAAAACAAGAGTAGAAAAAAAAAAGAGGAAAAAAGAAAAAATAATAATACGAGAAACAAAGTGCGAAAAGTATATAGGGGAAAAAGAACATGAAACTATAAACGAAAAAAAAAAAAAAGAAATAGAAACACACGACACACCCCGCCCCGCCAGCCCCGCCGAGCACGAGCCAACCGGAGGCAACCATTGAACGATATATGATTGTCACTTTATCACATAGTACGAGCTGCGAACGCATTCGTGATAAAGAGAGAATACAGAGCACGAGAATGGTGAGCATCGAGTCAAATTGCGCCTCTGTCTATTTCTCTCTATCTACTTCTGCCTACCTGTTCTCTATCTATCTCTCTCGCTCTCTTTTTCTTCTCTCCGCCGCGTGAGAAAATAGCTTCTTTTTCTTTTTTATAGCTTATATATACACGTAGCTCTCCTGCATGGCCTCTTCGCACCACTTCTAATCCTATAATCTCGCTAACAACTTAACTCTGCCTGGGTGCTGGCGCGTGCGTGCGTGTACGTGCGTGCGTGCCCGCGTGCGTGTTAGTGTATTCGCGTATTGCGTCGATGCAATGAGGTAACGGCGACCGCACACCGTTCTCTTAGCGAGACGACGACAATGTTACGAAACAATGACAACCACGTCATTGAGACGAGCCTCGGTCCGGTGCGGATGCACTTGTCATGTCTTTCACGTAGGATGTTTCAGATTTCCCCAAAACGCTCTCCTTCACATTCGGCTGCGTCACAAGCGACATAAAAGTTCACTGTTCATTAACACGAAGAATTCTCTGAGGCGTCTACAACGGCTATGGAAAGTCGATTTCTACCCACGAATCTGACTGTAACTGGGATTCTCGAAGTAACGGAAAATAATTAGCGCACAATTAGACTCTCGCCAAGGATAAAGAAATAGATCGCCAATTGTGAATCAACGAACTCGGCGGTGAAAGAAAACGCGAATTATCCAGGAAATCTCACACCTATAGTATATCGTTCATCACATTTTCATTTATATTTTACATGTAATAGTCATCGAGTTTTATTTCAGTCGAGACTTTCCAACACGTAACATACATCTTCCGGTACATCTGACACACAGTAATCAAACGTACCGCGTCCATTTCGCTTTCGGGGCGTTCTGGCTCGCCAGAACGTGCCGACCACCAGCTAATCGTAATAAGTGTATGCGCACCTGCATCACTGCACTATGCGGGCTTACACGTGCTCCATGTGTACACTTGTATACGTAACTAGACCGTAATATAAAACCCATCATCTCAGCGGCGCAATTCTGTTATCCTACAAGGAAGACAACGTTATCGGTGTCACCTCACTGTGTCGATGATATTCCATCTCACGGTACGGATGCGTGCGTGTGCGCACGTACAGGCTCTCCACATTTTACCCCGCACAACGGCATTTCCATTTTTTCTTCCTTCACCCTTCCCTCACCCTTCCTTTCCCCCCAACCCCCCTCTCTCTCTCTGTCTGTCTGTCTGTCTCTCTCTCTCTCTCTCTCTCTCTCTTTTATTCTCTAGCTTTTTCGATATCCATTTTTGCATACTTTTCACTAGAACAATTATTACCTATTACATGAGATCTGCTTCTCGGCTCTCCTCTCTCGGGGCTCGGCGGAAGCCACGTGCCGTGGTTGCAAAGGGGAAAGATGACACTAACACGTTGACTAACACGCACCTAACAAGCTAACCTGTGATATTACTGGATGTATTTACGTTTCTGTTATCACCCGATCTCATCACAACCGACGGATGTTCTGTTGACGACCCGGACGTAAAGTCGAACGTTACGCAAGAAGGAATCGATTGTCACAGCATAAAACAAGGCTGTTCTTGACTTCCCATGAAACTTCCTTGCGGTCTATTTCGAGATTTCGAAAAGCTCGGATGAATTTGTAACCGATTTACCGGGGGGATACTCCAGATTTTAATATGCTTTAGTATACTTTAGTATACTCCAGATTTTAGTGTACTTTTAGTATTACACGCTGCAAATTAAATTGTACGATGTTGAATAATGTAAATTTCTCTGAATTCTGAAAAGCCGTCTGAGCGAATATAAATTTGCCAGTAAGTATAAATTGTTAATGATATTTTTAGGAAAACCGCCTGGCACTCGTAAAAAATATCTCGTTCACGTAGACGTTGTCAACGTAGTCGGCTCTCCCCGTTACTCGTGACATTTATTATGTTAACGCAGAATGTGACTTTGCGTACCCCGAAATAATTGCTAGAGAAACGATTTGGACTTGCTTCCTTCTTGTAGTACAACTGCGTTTTGGATTGTTCGAGGAACTCTGGTCTTGCACGTCGGAGTGTGATGCTTTTTGGTGTTGTTTGCTCCCGTAGATTAGCGGCGTTCAGATGTGAAATTGACGGGATCACCCCGTGTATTTTAATCCTTCTGTTAAATTAAATTTTTATATCACACATACACACATACACAGATATACATACACGCGGGCACGTTTGCATTAAGAATCTTCACAGTCCCTCACAGAACATTTCTCTCACGATTAGTAGGATACTGATGATCCCCATATACTTATGAATTGGTTTGATAATCATTAAGAGTTTGATAATTACGTACACGGGCCGGCTTACATGCCTGAACACTTAAGAACTACGACTTTTAACCGTCTAAATATATGGGTACGGCTGAAAATTGCATTGATCACGATAATATAAGTGTTGACTATATACCGATCTGTGTACTTGCTTTAACAAGTTTCCTAATTTGTTTGTCATGAGATAAACACTCAATATAGTCTTTATATTTGTACACAGTGTGTCTGGCGTAACAATCTTAACACATTTGAAGTTACACCATTTTAAATATATTATATGCATCAAAGAGAGGTGTATAAAACTTCATGTGTCGAGGCTATTACGTCCACCTGTGTATGTAGAATCGTAGTACTTCACCCGTATATATTGTACATAGCTTCGATACTATTCAGTTTTTCTTGCTCTCCTAATCTCCTCTCTTATAACTGTACATATCTGTATAAATAATTGTACCTAAACCGCTTTTCGGGAACGTGTTTCGATACTCGAGTTCGAATCCTTTCAAGTCATCCTATTTTGACCTTCAAAATACTCCACTTGAATTACTCGGAAATCAACTATTTAATTGTCATCTTTCTGTAAGTTACCGTCGTATTGAGCACTTAGTATATGTGTGAACCATCAATTTCACTTCTCGACGACTCTCCTTTTACCTGTGTGCCAGTGTCTCTGATAGCTTCCGTGTTCGGTGTTCACAGCCGCATTCAGCAATCAAGTAATGAGCTTCAGAAGTAAAGCGAACCAACGTCTCCTCGCTTTCGCGTTTATTCTCTGTATCCGTTTTCGCATTTCGATCCTTCCGAAATTATTTTACGCGTACTGGTTCGCCTCACCTCTGAATGTCACGATGGTAGCGCCTACCTGCACGACGTTAATCGATGAATTCTAATGCATGTGGATTTTTAGGGAATTTTCACGAGGATCGAACGCCGTCTTAGAGCCACGTGCCATCGCGAAGGCGCCCGAAGGAGAGGGATGTCCTCGTTGCGGAGGGTACGTTTACGCCGCGGAGCAGATGTTAGCTCGTGGAAGGGTGAGTTGAATCAAAAAAACGTAGACCGTGCGAAATTGTCGCTAAACGCAGCCGGATGCGCGCGTCGGCGAGCAACTTGGCTATCGGTATACAATTTCGGTTGGATGACGCAACGCCCGTTTTTCGGATTTCGAAATCGAAAGACCAGCCAGAGGCGATTGCAATCACGGACGGCTGCGTTTAGCGTTACACGCGTGACGATGAATCTCTCGCGTCATCTTGGTGCTTCGACCGATCGTTCGTTGACGCCTTTTCGGAAACAAGGAACAAAAGTCACCGTACTCATTTTACTCGTGATTCGCCAAATATTCGCCCGATACTTCGGGCACGCTCGAAACACACTGTTTACCTTCCATCCATATGAGCAGACAGTTCACAGAAAGTTTAATTTCACCGACACGATACAGACAGGGTGAGTCCGAAATACTGACGCAAAATTTGCCGGCGTACTTACATCTCAGGATCGACGGGAAAATTCCGCTCGGGGAGGCTCGAGCGCGATTATCTTAGGTCGCAGTAACCGGGCTTATACTTCTCGCAAATCTACGATACACAGGAAAGAAACGAGAGGAATAGAAAGAGACGGGACATCGCGCGAGATCGAATGCGACTTGGTGATTTTTCCATTCGAGCCTACAATCGGAGCGATGCCTGCTTTTAGATCGGCGGACACAGAAGCCAGAAATAGCCCTCCGTCGAGTCGCGACCCTAGGTCCGCGCGAGGCGACAACCGTGGGTGGGCAGGGTCTCCGGATTCGGAACGGGTGTACATATCTCGATGGACGGGGGGGGGGGCGACGCTGAGAGCCGGAGGACGGCGGCGACGGCGGCGCGATTTAGCACTAGCGGAGCAATAAAATCGGTCGCTGACGCGCCGACAGACAGATTGACGCAATCCGCGTCCTCTCCGCGCGCGCTTACTCACGCGTATTTCGGAAAATCTGGACGGAACCGCGCTCGCTCGCGCGCGGTAAAAACCGCCGCGGGCGAGCCGCGGGTTACAAAACGCGCGAGCGCGGCAAAAGCCGCGCGTCTAAATTCGGCGCCTCGCAAATGTGCGTCCCCGTAATCTTATCCAATCTTCATTTCATAACAATGCGAGGAAAAAATAGCGGCGCGGCCGCGGGTAGGGTGAGAGCATGGAGGGAGAGGAGAGGAGAAGAGGGCTCGCCTCCCCCTTTGGTTCTAGCCCAGAGACTTTCTCGGTGGTTTCGTCAGAAGACGTTGGCGACGCACCAACTGGACGGCCAATCTTAGTCGGCTCAATACCCGGCGATAAAATGGCTCGCTACCAAGAGAGCACCGCGAACGAGAGAGGAATGGGGGGCTAATTGCCGGCCGACAATCTGGTCCAGCGATAATCTGCGCGAAAACGGCGAACGGTAACGGCGACAATTCATCTTTTACGTCGCCCATGACTCATCGACGCGTCGCCCCGCCGTCGAAATCGCGTCTCTCTCCCTTCCTCCCATCCCCTCTCACAATCTTCACACTTTTTCTCTCTCTCCCTCTCCCTCTCTCTCTCTCTCTCTCTTCCCATCTAGGTATTAGAAAGGTCGTATTTGGAGAGATCGTTGAGTAGTTTTATTGAAAAAGATAAAGGGTGACTGTTTTATACAACGGTAAAAATTCGAACTTACTACTTTGAAGATATGTCGATTAATAATCGAAGATTTCCATATGATCCGTGTGTTCACCAGGGCTAGAAATGATATTCGAAACTTCGTCTCCTCGGAGCTTCGAATTTCTGAACTTTCAACACGTTATATTCGAATAATGAAATTTTGATGTGTGAAAATTCGAATATTCGAATATTTGAATATTCGAAACTTCTGGAACTGAAGAACGCGTATTCGTTTTGTAGGCATAATAAATAGTATTTACTAACCTAAAGAATGTAATTTTTTCCTACATTGCGTTAGATTGTTTCATATCAAAATTTACATTTATTTTAAAATAAGGTTAATGAGACTTATTGTTGATTATTTGTGCTTTCTTCATTTACTTGGTTTTAAACTAGATAAATATAAATCTCAGAATTTAATTAAAGACACCCAAACTACACGTATATCTAAAAGGCATTTCAAAGACATCTTTACGACCTTAATATCATGAGTTAAATTGATAATCTCTAATTGTATAATATTTCGCTGCACTCTCCAAAATTAGTTCTATCAACAGCTTCGATATTTTGAATTTTCGGAGTTTCGAATGTCGAATATTGAATAGTTCTATCCTAATATTCATTGTCCCGCGCATATTATTTACACGGTACATAGTATAATCTCCAACTTATTAATCGACGCGATTAAAGTGTTAAAATCTGTCATCGACCGCGTTAGTGTCGCTGAAATATCGAGAATATTACAAAGGAAAGGGGGAGAGGGAGAGAGAGAGAGAGAGAGAGAGAGAGTGGATAGAGAGACAAAAACTTCAGAAATCAAAGATTAAGACACTTGACGATTCGTCGCGGCACCAAGTACAGCGTGCACGATATCGATAAGAACGCCCCGTTGGCAGCGGCCGTTGGTCAATCGTCGTTCTTGTGATTAGGTTTACCATAAACTGTGCTTCAAGTGCAAATTGTGTCGGCGGACTCTGGATTCTACGCTTCATTGCGACGGTCCCGATCGCGAGATATATTGTCGAGGTATCTTTCATCCAGAGAGAATCTACGATCATTCCTGGCACTGTCGATCCATGAGTGTCTTGCGATTTTGACGTAGAGATATCCGTACTGACTGTGCCCTGTGTTCCGACACGTTGGACGATCATCACCTACGGGACGTGTCTATCTCTGTCTATTTCTGGCTTGCCTCCGTTCATCTTCGTCCGTTCGTTACCGGACTGACGTGTTTCCTATTATTGTAGCCTATTAAAACCAGTCTTGCGAACTCTTCCTGCACCGCCAAAAAACAGCCCCTGAGCGCACAAGGGCTGCAAAGTGTCGCTAAGAAAGGACCACGAGCGCGTCGATCGGGTTGTCACCTTCTCGTGTCATATTATCGTCACCGTCGAGAACGAGGAGAGGCGCGCGGATGTTTATCTATTCGCTCCGCGTCGCGCAAATTTAGATAACTGCGGTAGCTACGTAACGTCTGCCAGAATTATCGCACCGGTGGGGAAATCACACATTTCGCAGGTCAAATTAAGAAGATCAAATTAAGGGGATTGTAAAATGAAGCTCAAACGAATTTTTAACTTTTTAACCTTTAATCGTTCGAGAAATCGGTAATTAAAAAGAATCGCAATGAATTTTATGCAAAGTGTCTGACTGTAAAACACGACATACTCGTATGCGTAGGTAGAGCGTATCAAACTGGAACAGGAAAGTCCTTTACCGTTTTGCCACTTTCGCGATAGTCATCAGGATATTAATTGAAGAAGTTTGGCGAACGAGTGCGCGCGCGAAATGGCGGAACGAGCTTCGCAGGGATGACTAAGGTTCGTATTAATAGTTGTCATTTGAAACTCGTCTCATGCGAGCTGCTCAGATTTTGATTCGACATTAGGGATCTGAGATTTTCACACGAATCTTATGATATATTTGACACGGCACCTGCAAACGTTATTCAACTGAAAAACTCACGTCTAACTCTGAAATTCAAATCTGAGTATCTCATCTAAAACTAGTTTCAAGTGACAACTATTAATGCGGGCCAAAGAACATGTCCTGGGTTTGTTTATAACTTCCTAACAATAGAGCGTGAGAAATGGAGCGCTATCCAGTGTCACACGCATGATGCTGGACTATAAACAACTTCGAGACGTGTTCCTTGAGCTGTGTTTACAGCGCCTACAGAGTTTCCTCTACGCATCGCACTCACTCATTCGCCAGTCTTCTGTAATTAATTTGTTAGTAACTCTTGTGCGAAAATCACAAAACAATAAAGGATCTTCCTACTTAGTTTGATCTCTCTCTACCTGTATAAGAGAATGGTTGCGTTCAGCGAAAGTGATCAATGATTATTGCTCGCGATTGGGGGTATTCTTTACCATCTATCAAGGATCTAAAAGTATAGTCCAGTCGCAGAAAATATTTATTAAGCGCTTGTCAAGCGCTGGCTTCTGCTGAACGCAGCCAATACCTGCCATCGATATCGTGAAACTCGGGACAGATTGTATTGGCGGGTTCCAAGGAGCTTTCAATGTCCTCGCTCCTGAACGATTGTACAAGTGAACGAGCAATATTGTACAATGTAGCACTTTTCCCGGAACTTTCAGTGACTAACCCGTCCTTTGTGTTTTGTGCAGCAATGGCACAGGGAATGCTTTAAGTGTGCCAACTGCTCCAAAAGGTTAGATTCCATCAACTGCTGCGAAGGTCCTGATAAGGACATCTATTGCAAAGGTGAGGATGTAATATACATATACGCACGAAGATGTAACGTACAAGAACCGACACACGCAATAGAGGAAGAGAGGAGATAGGGGATTACGTTTTGATAAATCCCTCGGATACTTTGTCGAGTCGTGAACTGTGAAATGTTGCATAATGAATTTCTTCGGCATGAATACCTCCTCTATGTAAAATATCGATATTCATTGCTGTCAAGGCATCCGAAGTTGTTCGCGGATTTGTTTGCCGCACCGCGAGAAGTCGAATTTTATGTCGACAAATCGGGTTTCGGTTTTTGACTTCTTAATGAGGATCGGAAAATTCGCGAAGTTCCACATTTATTTACAGCATGACATGTCGGCGTAATCAATACAGATTTTCGTTAGAAACATCCATTTTGTTAAAATCTATGAGTTTACAACACCCCTAAAAGATATTTCCCACGAAACTGAGTACATCTTGTACGTACGTGTGATCAGTTACAAAAAGGTTACTTTCTTTTCGAAAGCATCCCGTGTGCAATAAGAGAATTTTTGTTTTTCGATCATTCTCAAGAGATACATTTCCCCGTTGGATATGAGATGCATTGCGTTGAAACTCATCGAGACAAAAGTGTGAGCAATCTTTTCGCGGCCGACTACATACAACGATATCTATCGAGTCATGCCGAACTAATTAAAATTCAACACTTCACATTACACACAGCGCCAATCACAATTGCAGGATAAAACTTGTTGTTCGATTGTACAATAACGTACGATGGATATTTAGGTAAATCAGAACACGCATCGTGACATACACATACGTTTACGTCTTCGTCGCGGACGATCAGCACGTGATAACGCGAGGCGACGTGAAACCTTTAATCGATATTGTCTGCAGTATGCTACGGAAAGAAGTTCGGACCGAAGGGTTATGGCTACGGCCAGGGTGGCGGCGCCCTGCAGAGCGACTGTTACGCCAATGGGTGGGTTTTCAGAGTCAGGACTGAGACGGGAAGCACGCGCGAGAGAGAAATCCCGCCTCGGCTTCTACACTTTCACTATATATGATGCGCTTGTCTGCTTAACAGCTTGCTATCCGAAGAAATTCGGTCCGCGGGGTATCGGCCACGCTGGGGTTATGTGGATCGGGCTGCAGTGCGATATTGAGGACAAGGGGTACGCGCCCCCTTAGTTAAGCCATCACGATCTTTTCGCGCGCGTACACAGGGTGCCCGGAATCGGAGAGGCGCGCGCAAGTAGCGATGGTTTCGCCTTCGATTCGCCGCTAATTCGTTTTCCTCGTTGGAAATCTCGTAGCGCCTATTTCTATCGTCCTGCTACGTTGTCCCGTGCCATATGACGGTGTGCAACATGACTTTGTGACTAATGAATCCGCGATTAAGAGGACACGTTAAGATTTCCTTCCTTGTATTCTCGATCGACCGAGCGATATTGTCGGGAGAATACGCCTCCTGCAAAAGTTCTCTTCGTATCGAAGTAAAAAATATTCACGCGCAACGTATAATATTGGGAATGAAGTTTCTTAAGTGGCGGCATATTAAGATTCCACTTTCGATTATCGATAGGCAAGTCTTTCAGGTTCTCGGAAACATTTGGCGGATGTTAATGTTAATTAGACGTTACGAGATTGGACAGGGAGAAACGGGAAATAAAGTCTCGAAATTAATGTTTAAATACGTAACTCAATATGTGTGCAATTTCCCCGGGATACTTGAGCTTAATTAGATTTTCGTAGGCAGGATTACATCCTGGAATGTATATATACACATACACACGTCTCAGTGCCGATGAGAGGCTCCTTCTTCGTTTTCCCGTGTCGTATGCTCGCTTGCTTCGAGCGTACGAAGACGTAGCTCGCGAGAAGATGGCGGACGAAGCTGCAAAGGTCGGGCCCTCGTCGAGGAAAAGTCGACTTCGGCTTTCTCGAAGAGGACGAGAAAAATTGTCACTGGCACGCGCCTTCTCCGGGACATTCTGTACACGTGCGCGCCTGTGTGTGTCCGTGTATATACAATATACATATATACATACATATAGACCGACGCCTTAACGCTTTGCGCTACTACTCACCTTGGCATCACGAATCGGCCGATCATATCGGAATATCGAGTGTGAATATCTCAGTGGCGATCGGCTCAAAGAGACTCGTATTGAGGAGCTCAGTAGAGAGCTCGCGGACGTTCATTGTTGCCAGACTCTACCACATACATTCGACATTCCTGTTGCCACATGGTCTGTACGTTGTGCATGTGTACTTATGGCGGTCTAACACCCGAAGTTGGCGTAGCACCCAATTCGTCACTAACACCCTCTGCAACTATATACACCATTATAATTCCGATACATGTATACGTGGAACCACGATTCTCATCTTCCCCCTTGACGAAATAATAGTATAGAGTGTGCGACGAATAATTGAGAGACTCTAGCGGGAAGAAAACTTCGTAATTGTCTGTCACGGCCGTGAAAGAAGCTACATGGCTCAACTGATAGCTGTATTCCCACGATCGATGGAAGTTCCTCCCGTTTTCCGTGTTCTATGGTATGCGACGAAACTTTGTACAATGTACAGAATTGCACACTGTACAATTGTTAACCCGAACTTCAATAATCTTCTTCAAATCCTGCACCTGTAACTCTACTCTCGACGTGATCCCGCGAATCTTTACGACACGATGACAATTTTCCACGATCGTGAAATTATCCCATCGTAAGACTTCACTTCGGGAAAAACAAGTTGAAAAAGTCGCGAGGACATTTCTTTGACGCCCCTTGACCAGACAATTACCGACACGGCCAAGCCATCCCTGTCGTTCGCATGCGATTACATTCTTTCGTGATTGCGCAAACGAGCCGTACGGACGGGGAAAGCGAGGCGATCTAAAACTCGTGCTCGGATATCCAGCTCGACCTCCCGGTCTGAACATCCGACAAACTTCTCTTCCTGAGACAAGACGATCGGCAGACCCGTGTCAATAGTTTCCCCTCGATCCGTACGGCTCCGACAATCAGCCTTATCATCGCCGGACGAGCGGAGCAGGCCGGGGTTGTAACGTCAGGATTGATTTGCGACACAGCGATGCGGCTCCGCGCACCACCGTGATCGACACCGCCGTGATCAAGGCCCCGCCGGGCAAGGGTTGTCCCCGCTGCGGCGGCGTCGTCTTCGCCGCCGAGCAGGTGCTCGCCAAGGGCCGCGAGTGGCACCGGAAGTGCTACAAGTGCCGTGACTGCACCAAGACCTTGGACTCGATCATCGCCTGCGACGGCCCGGACCGGGACGTCTACTGCAAGACCTGCTACGGGAAGAAGTGGGGACCGCACGGATACGGATTCGCGTGTGGCTCGGGATTCCTCCAGACCGACGGACTCACGTGAGTGTCCGTGACGGGCTTTCGTCTCTCTCTCTCTCTCTCTCTTTCTTTGTGAACACGGCTCGATCGAATGTATGAATGTAAAGGGCGTGTGTATTTTTAATGCGGTTCATTCGAGACAAGACGAAAGAAGCACGGGGTCGTTAAACGGATTTGCCCAAAAGATAAGTCGCACGGGCGATACAGCCGGAGGGAAGAAGACGGGATTTAAAAAAGCTAACTGGTCGGGAGATAAAATAAAATCGAGACTGAGACTCATGCCGTTATTCATAGTCGGATTTTATATTTAAGGCCGTCTTTAATTCGCCTTCAGATATCGTACGGCTCGTTTCATTAGCTACGAAGCTTCGTGAGGATGAATTTAAGGCGGCCTTAAATGTAGGGCCCAACTATGAATACCGGCGTTAAAGGAAATTTGAATTTACTTATGCCCCGTTTCTACTACTCGTGGTTTAAATCTAATCGACCATTAACTCATTGAAATTGACCAGTGTCATGGATCGGGTAATCCGATGCGATTGGTTAATTCAGTTGAGTCAATCATCGGTCAGATTTAAACCACGATAGTAAAAACGGGCATTGGTCAGTCTTTGTCTGAACTAAAGAGGGTTGTAACTTACGGCCGAGACGTTTGGATTCGTCGACTTTTCAAGTCTAATAATTTTTAACCTCGTCATTATACTTATCAGCATCGACTCTTATTGGCTTCTTTTAATTAATTATACATCCGGGAACTTGATTCATACATTCTTTATTGTTTTAAAATAAGTTTAACATATTTATAAAACACGATCTCGCGTCTTGACGAGTCTCGAAGCAGCGTGCTGCCATTTCGGGCCCGTGATTCATTATCTTGACCGATCTAGTTTGAATTGAATTCGGCAGTTGGGAAAACAAAGGCTGCACTCGGGCCGAGTGGCTCAGCTCGAGCTCGTACGATCGGGGCTCCGTGGTAATCGCGTTAATGATCCGCAGGGAGGATGAGATTTCGGCCAATCGACCTTACTACAATCCCGATACGACCTCGATTAAGGCGCCAGCTGGACAGGGCTGCCCCCGTTGTGGCGGCATGGTGTTCGCCGCGGAGCAACAGCTCGCCAAGGGCACCATGTGGCACAAAAAGTGCTTCAATTGCGCCGAATGTCACCGACCTTTGGACTCGATGCTAGCATGCGACGGTCCCGACAAGGAGATCCACTGCCGCGCCTGCTACGGAAAGCTCTTCGGGCCCAAAGGCTTCGGATTCGGCCACAGGCCGACTCTCGTCTCGACTAACGGGGATCACGCTCCTTCCTAGTAAGTGGACGTTCCATTTCGCGGTGAACCTGCGGCAGGACTCGCCGGCCTCATTCGGGACGCATAGCGAACGTCAAATGTGCCTTACCAATTCCAAATACTCATTGAGGGGAAAAAAAATCTGGTATACTTGTAACTATAATATCAAAACTATACATCACGGTAAGAGAATTGTAGCTAGGAGAACCATATTATTAGTGCCACTACACAGAGAAAAAGATTTCTTTGGTATTTCTGTTTATTCGAATAAAATTTGCTTTATAGAAACAACATATACGGAATATTATTTGTTTGAATAAAAATTTTGTTTTATTGCCTCATTCAAGAAAACTCTATTATTTAACGGAAAGAACGCTATTATTTGAAATAATATCTTTCAACTAAATAGAGTATCATTTGGTTACGATAAATATGTAAAATGAAACAAATAATTCCTTTATAAGAAAATTACTTTTCATTTCAAATACACTTTTTATTTGAGACAACGATACATATTCGTTGAGAAGTCTAACAATCGTACTTATTGATCGAAACATTAATTTCTCTCGAGCATGCCAATGATGAAATTTGTTTGGATGCAATAAAATTTATTAGATTTGAAGAAATTTCTTTTTCTCAATGTCTCATTGATGGTATCAATGATATGAATCTCGATGATTATTATTCGCGGAAAGATATCGTGATTAGATCCCCGACCACTTTCTGGCCCGTCGCGATTTACCTGATCGGACTCCCGGACGACGTTGCTTTTCCTTTTCGCAGCATCGACGCCAAGCCACAGGTTGGTCAGAAGCGAAACGACGGGCACGGTTGCTCGCGCTGCGGCTACCCGGTGTACGCCGCCGAGCAGATGATCTCGAAGAACCGCGTGTGGCACAAACGATGCTTCAGCTGCGGCGAGTGCCACCGTTCCTTGGACTCGACGAACCTGAACGACGGCCCGGACGGGGACATCTACTGCCGCGGCTGCTACAACCGAAACTTCGGGCCCAAGGGCGTAGGCTTCGGCATGGGCGCGGGCACCCTCACGATGGCCTAATTCATGGGTCTGCGCCGCTCCAAAAGAACCCTCGCGATCCAGTCTTATATATCAATGTAAATACATAAATATATATTTATACAGGCCGCCCCAAAACTGTCGCGCGATACTTCAATAGCGTATTCTGGAGTTTAATTGGAATCGAAAGTCCTAACGACGAAAGTGCCGGAGGAGATCTTCGTTTGTCGCGACTCTTCAATCTTTTAACACTGTATACCTTCGTAACTAAGCTTTTAGTTGGTTAGAATTTTCTTCAAGTACACTCCACTTGAAATTAAATAGAAAAATTAGCGAAAAAAGTTAGCTGAAAGAAACAAGCTAAGAAAATTAGCTTAAAAAAAAATAATTTCCTTATTTACCTGGCCTGCTGAAGTTCCTTTCTTCGGCTTATGTGTTAAGATTTACACGGCTTCTCAGTCGAGCTCCAGAATATACTGATAAAGAATCGTGCGATAGTTTTGGGGTATCCTGTATACAGGCGTCTGACTGTATATCTGACGACAGACGAACACGCTGCTCCGGGAATTTCGATTTCTCCTTTCTTAGCTTACGACGATTCGATGATGTCGATGACTTCGCCCCCCGTTACAACGAACGGCGCGGTAGGCGCGGATGACGACGCGGACTCCGGTTGATTTTACGGTCGATCGACCGCGCACGGACGAGTCGACGCGAGATCGCCGATAATTCATCGTGATATGAGATCGCGCTCGTATCGATCGTGTTACGGATCAATTAGTCATTCGGCTAATTAGCAACCTATTAGTCCGCAACGTAAATCATCGTCTGGCTTGAAGGTGTCGCATTAATGACGACGCAGCTCGAGCTCACTCTGCAAAATGAACAAAGTTTCGGCATTAAGCAGACAGGAGAATGCGACGTGGAGGTTTAAAGAGAGAAAAGTGATCCACGCCGTGATCTCCGATCACCCGATCGCAGCAAATCATCGCGAAGATTTATCGACGATCTGTCGACTCGCTCCCGCGCTCAACCGGATCCGCTCTCTCGTCCAGTCGTCGCGATCACTTGCACTAGGTTACCGCGAAAATTTCACCGGGACTCGTGGGTCGTGAGAACAACAGCTCGCTAGCCAAATCCGCAAGGTAATTTCGCTTGCGGTCCGGTCGACGACGATCTGCGGGTTCTCTCTGCGAGTTTCGCAGCAGCCTGGATGATGATCCCCGACGACGACCTACGCGCGAACGATTAATCTGATGACAAGCAATTACGAACGTACGAATATGTTTTGTTATTTTTCTCCTTTCTTCCTTTCTTTCTTTCTCTCTCTCTCTCTTTTTTTTATTTTCGATCGACGAATTGGAGATTACGACCGCGAAGATCGTCCCGCGAGATGTCAGTCTTGAAAGAGATGGAAAAGCCAGAGAATCAAATAAGTCTTCGAAATCACATTCAATTTGGCCGGAATCTGACCCGAAAAGTTTCCAATTCTTTTTTTTAAATTTTGTAGAAAGGTTGAATATTGAATGTTTGAGCCGGCGTTGAAAAGCATATTTCGATCCCCGTCGGCGAAGAGAATCGCCAAGTAGACGTTTCGCATCGGTGGTTTCTCACGATTTAGCCTCCTTGATTGTGAATGCTATTGGGAAATAAATACGTAAGACTCTAGGAGATGTTTCTCTGTCTCTTAGAATAATACGATAACGCGAGGTAGAATGCATCGTAAAGATGCTTGCTCGTTAACTATTTCGCGTGACAATTCGAAATTAAACAATGGCAATCGTAAGATTTCCACCACATATGAGTATCATTCATCCGGTTTCAATTTCGGGAGACAAAACACGGAAGATTTCGAGATCGGCAGCGCAATGATTTTATCATTGGCATCGATTACACGTCGCACGTCCGCGGACGATATAAGCAGATAAATACGAATAAAAATCTACTTAACCGGGCTACGACCAGCAGCAACGATCTAACCGACGACAAGACGAGAAACTAATTTAATTATGATTTTCAATAAATGTATACTTGAAGACCCGTCAGATTTTCTTCACCCGAACACACAAATTGATGTAATCTATTGGCGTTCGAAGATGCGCGCAACGAAATCTTATATTTTCTCTACATGAAACACGACTCGATATATTAATATGACATTAAGCATAAAGAAGAATTTAATAAGCCGAATTAATACAATAGCATAAAATGAATACTGCATACGGAAAAATACACAGTGCATTCAAGTTTAGTATTTCAATCAAGAATATTGAATTAAAATGGTAAAAATTAAAACTTCGGTTCACTTATTCCAATTAACTAAATTTAACTTTTTCTCAGTAAGGTTAATAATATTCTTGGAAAAAAAAGAACAAATTATTTCAAGCGAATGATAATGATTTTTTCTAATATTTGTGATGAGTATATTTTCTCTACCATTATCATGAGAATATTCTTCGTTCAAAATAACCATTATTTAAAAGAAGAAAAACAAACTGAGCCATTGCATTTCTTCGCAATACAGTAATATTTGTCTCTGTGCGGGCACGAATATGTGAAGCAATAATTGAATGAATAAGACGATTCTGCCGCTTGTTGTTACGTCCTCCTGAGGAAACGATGTGACGATCCGACAGAATGGTTTGCGGGAACAATTCGAGCGAGCTCGACATAGCAATCAATCACGGAGAGTGAGTGTGAGTACGGTGTAAAACACTAATTTCATATATTTATAGCAACAACTGTACAAGTTTTCCGGTCACACATATCTATAATTACCATTCGTTAACCTTAACAATAATGGCGGGAGCAACGAAGCTGTTCAGAGTCCACGAACGCTTCCTGGCTTGCGGAGGCGAGCCTTTCCCCTCTCTCACGGTCGTCGTCGCGTGTATAATCGATAATCCGCGTCTTCCTCGGAGAGACGAGCGTGCGGCTCGCGCTACGCGCCAGTATACGCAGTATTGTAAAAGTGTCTCGTTAAAAAATCACATTCGTTATCGAACTGGGATATGAATCGCCTCGGGACACGATAGAAATTATCGCACATTGTTGTCGTTCGCTTTCGGAGGACCAGTGCCATCGTTAGTCCGCGAAACAACTTTACCTTCCTGTTATTTCCTAGATCTCCGGACTTCGCGGACGATCGTGGCTGGATTCTCGTTGGTTAAACGCGCGGCATCGGTTATTAATCACTGTGATTGATTGATTTTAACGGCATTCAAGTTTCAAGAAAACTCGTTGCATCACGATTAAAGGCTGAAAATATCCGGACAATTTAATTTAATTCCACTTCCGATTCTCTTTTTGGACAGATTGGATCCGAATTAATTAATTAGTATATTCAAGCGGAACTTGAATGAGACGACTCGAATCACGCGGATAATTCGGATATCCTTCGAGTAATCGGATAATTCGGTAAATCAATCTCGACATCCGGGGCAGCCGAGAATTCGAATCGTCCCATTCACGGTCGTATCGTATTATTTATATTCGGATTCACGATGTTAAATAATTAACGGTACTTTCACCATCGGGGGGGGGGGAGATCTCGAGGAAAATGGTCGTCACGATTTCCAACGCGTCCGGCTTAATTCCGCTCATCGGTGACATTGATCGATAATTGAGACTCTCGTTCGCTGGCCCTCTAAAAGGTCACGGCGAGTTCGTTCGACGAGACCACGTGGAAAGAAAAGATATACCGTTCAGATAGAACTATACATACCTTCGCCTTAACTAATGTACATTTATACATCTCACTATAAAATAGATTCAGTCGTAATCGATAAACTATACATACGCGGAGTAAGGTGCGCTCGTTATCGACGCCGTGACCAACGAGTCACACCGTCGTCAAACATTGTCCATCGTATTGTGATAAGACAGGTACCCTCGCTCTTCTTGGTACGAGACATACAGGACGGTATGTGTGTGAGTATTTATCTTAAGGAGGACATCCTAAAGAGAGGATTCCGCCGATCTGCGGAACCGGTACGGATCGCCTCGACGGCGTAGCGATCGATCTCGCGACGCGAGAAAACTTCCCTCGCGCGTCGTGTGTCGCGCGCACTCTCTCTCCCCTCCTCGCCTCTCGAGGAATTGAAGAATGAATGATCGGGGGATATAGATACAGTTGTGAGACGAGAATACGTGAGACCAATGTCCATCGAATCGATAGACGCGTTCGTTTTAATCAGTCAGCCCGGAAAATGGCGACGCCTTTAAACCAGCAGCTCGGACCCCCTCCCTTCCGTGGAATTTCGGAAAATTCCGCGGGAATCGAGTGATCGGCTTTTGCGACGCGATGTCTCGAGCGAGAGAGAAATTCCCCGTGTCCGCCGATCGCCTCTGCGACATCCGATCGATCCGTCTCGATCGGCTACTCGATCGGCAGGTCGCCGGAATCGCGCGTGTCGAATCGGTGTGCGAAGTGCACGCTCGGTATCTGCGTCAAGGATCTTACTTGTGGAGGTATATACTTTTTTTTTTCCTCGGTTATTCCGCTACTTATTATACGATAAATATATCGCGCGGGAGACTTCGGCGAGTAATGTAAACGTGGCCGCGAATAATTTGTCGGTCGTGCAAATCAATCCCGGTGAACTAAGCGCCAGTCGTGTGTCCATAGTGCGATGCTCGTGGCGATATCGATAGTACTTTTACAGACACTATTCTACCCGCTGTCTCTCTCGCTGTTAATCCTAACAATTCGGTGTGTTATCGGTGAGATATAACTGAGATTGGGGAGCGTGTGTACCGCAAAAGCGAGCTTAACGTTCCACGGCGAGTTAGAGTTCCGCGACGAGTCTCTCTCTTTCCTCCCTCCCTTTCCCCCCCTTCTCCCCTTGTCCCTCTCTCGTCTACGAGAGTGTAAAACTCATCTCGTCCCGTGGATATAATTACAACGGAGGGATTAAATGAATAAAGACGACGTGGTATAATATTTAGAGCACTTTAGAATTACCGACTCCGCGGTTGAATTAACGGTCACAATAGTTCCATTTAATATTGAACGCGGACTCGGCTTTCCATTCTGAGTTACCGCCTCGTTAAATCGCCAGTGAGTAATTCACGATTCACGATGCACGATTTATTATTCGTGACGAATTAAAATGATATAGATCCAGCTGGCTCGCTCCTAAAAATGCTCCCCTTGATATAACGACGATCCCGCATATCCGTGGGATCCTCGGATAACGATTTCGCGTGTGTAATGCGATTTCCTCGGGGATCGATTCAATTACTTTTCGCAATGGTTCGAGATTTTCAGAGAGACGCGGAATTATCTGCGCTTTCGCGATTCGCGGACACGTAGAGTCGGCTGCGATCGCGCCGTGCGTTTCGCTTTTTTTATCCCTCGGAAGCGTTGAAGCTCTCGTTTGAGGTAGACGCTCGGTAACTCCGCTATTAATCGGAATTCGAATTCGATCCGAAATTTCGCTCCATTCATATCGGCCTCAGTCATCTCGGACCAGGAATCTCGGTTTCAAGCTGGTTGAGCGATACGTCGAGGCAGCGTTTCCCGAGTTTTACGCCACCAGCCGCGAGCACGTAAAACGCATGTGAATTAAAACGACGGAAAAAATCGCGTTAGAAGGAACATAGTATACTCTCTCTCTCTTTCTCTCTCTCTCTCTCTCTCTCTCTTGGAACGCGTATCACAGGAAAATAAAACGACAAGACGAACTTGGAGCGCGACAAATTCTCGTCGGCCGAAATTCGTCAGAAATCATTCCGCCAGTAAATTGAAGAAGCAGCGAAATCTGAGTCAAGCGACATTTACTACGATTCTCGATCTTTAACGAGCCGCCGACAAACGTTCGATCGTATGAACGTAATCCTCGTTGGAACGCGACACTTCGCTTCGATTATTATTATTAAGCAAAAAAGCTCAGAGTGCGTCTCGACAGACGCTGCCTCGAGGCAGGCCGCGCCTGAATGTCTCCGTCTGTCCCGTCTGTCTGTAGAAAAAAATATCAGCGGCGCGTCTTTACCGGGTGGATTAATCCTTCGAGCAACCTCAGCTCTTCGAGGATGCCGCGAGCTTCTGCGAGCGAGCGTACGTGCGGCAAAGAACGGAGCCGGGAAACGGGGGCTACGAGCTTTCGGCTGTGAGCTTCAGGTTACGAGCTTTCGGCTGCGAGCTTCTTGCTGCGAGCTCCTGGTTACAAGTTTCTGATTGCGAGCTTCCTGCTGCGAGCTTTAAGGTGCGAGCGACGTCGTCTCCACGCGTGATCTCTCCCGGACGCGGCCGGCTTTACGTATTTACAACCTCCGATGCGACACGGCGGGAGGACGACGAGCCGCTTAGTAGAGGTTCGCGGTTTTCAGCGGCAGTGGATCCAGCAGGTAAGGCGGCAAGGCCGCTGAGAAAGGTCTGGGACTGCAGGAGCCCCAGGTGCCGCCGCCGCCGCCGGCGCCCCGCGCGTTCGGTGAGCCGCCGTCGCCGTCCGCGTTAGTGTGCTTCACGTTCACCAGGCTCTGGTTGGCGATCGGCTTGATCTCGTTCGACGACAGCACGCTGTTCGAGCTGCCGGGCGGCGTCGCCGGACTCCTCGGCGAGCGGCCCTCCGCCTTCACGGTGCCGGCGACCGGACTGGACGCGCCGCTGTCGGCGCCGATGCCGGCCTGCGACGTGGACTTCTGCTGGGCCAACCTCTCCTGCTTGCGGAACTTAGCGCGCCGGTTCTGGAACCACACCTGCAACAGCCACACGGACGCGCGACCGTGTTAAAATGTCAGACGTGGAGTCGCGTGTGAAGGGAGATGCGACGCTTGGAACATCGTCGCTGGTTCCTCGGCGGTCACGAGGCGTGAATAAATAAGCAAGATGATGAATGGGAGTTTCTAATGACTCCAGTAAACCAATCATCAGTAACGCGACATCAATCCCACTTAATAATGTAACTGTTATATAACACACGCGTTATATTTTGCATTTACATTGTTGAGTGGGAAATTCTAAAATTAATGTTATGTTATTGCTAGTTGGTGCTTACTGGGACTGTTGTCCGATGAAAATTTCTGATAGATCTAATTAATTTGCAAGACGGTCGTGATCGCTCGCGAGAAACCGAAAAGAAGCACTGGGAAGAAATGTTTGGTAACTGCATAAGTGAAAGGATTACAGACAGGGGAATCATTTTTCTAATAAGTGTTACTGCAGTGTCAGTGACGATAATCTTGCATGCGTATACTCAGCTTATCTTTCTTCTTTTAAATAATGGCAATCTTGAACAAGGAATATTTTCTTAATAACAGTATCAAAATATACTCATCACAAAAGCTCATCAGAGAAGCTCATTATCATTTATTCAAAAGAAGAATTCGTCCTCTTTTTAAGAATATTATCAACTTTATCGAAGAAAAGTTAAATTCGGTTAATTGAAATAAGCAAACCGAAGTTTCCGTTTTAGTGTTTTAATTTAATATTCTTAAATGAAGTATTAAACTTAATAGGAAACAAAATATATTTTTAATCAATCTGACGCTTATGAAGTTATGAGATATAGTATATTTGCGGATATATAAACTTATAAAATTTTTGAAACACAGTAACATATCTGCAAGCATATCACAGGCTGTCAAATCTATTCAAATTATATTCCAAATTCTAACAAGTTTAGTACTTCAATCAGGAATATTAAATTAAAATACTAAAAATAAAATATCGGTTTACTTATTCCAATATTAACCGAATCTAATCTTTTTCCAATTAATTATCAATTATAATATTTTCAAAAAGAGAACAAATTCGTTCTAAACTTTTGTTCTAAACAATAATAATAATGAGCTCTGATATTCGTGACAAATATATTTTACTACTATTATCAAGAAAATATCCCTTGATTATAAGATAACCATTGCTTAAAAGAAGAAAAATAAACTGAGCAATTGTTTCCCCTCGCAGTATGAATAATATTTTTCCCCGTATGGTTGAGGCCGGAAACGGCTGTAACTTTAATGGGATTTCTCTCAGTGTGGAGAAAGAAAGAAGAAGAGCGAGACTTCGGGGTTTCTGAAAGGCTCAAGTTGAAGCAGTGTACGACGCAAGACACGAACGCAACGTATAACCGTTCCTTATCGTTGCTGCGCATTAAAGCTACGTGCTTCCCCGTGCTTCAGCTTTCAGATATTCGGATCAATTATCAAAGCTTTATCGCCGGGAGAATCCGCATTAAATAAACACGGGAGCCGGCGGCAGAGGTCGAAACGGCCGCACGGAAGCCCGCGCTCCCAATTAGAGACGTAAGTTTGCGATCGTCGTTGATCAGCCGCTACGTGTTCACAGGAACGCGTTCCCCGCCGCGGCGGGAGAAATCGTTCGCGAGGAGGTCCGCCAGATCCGCTTCCGCTCGTCAAAGTAAAACGGCGAGACCGGCCGGTCGGCCGGCCATACGGCGTGCTCGTAATTGGCCCTAGCCGGCCAAATGAAATATTTAACGAATAAAATAAACAGACACCTGCGGTGACCTGCATGTTAAAGTAGCGGATTTATTTGCTTTAGCGTTTATCTGACCGGCGGCGCTGCCCTCTCATCCGCTCGCCCCCTTGTCCCTCCTGCCCCCCGTTCCGTCGATCCCCTTCGCCGCTGTTCTATCTCGCCACTCTCCGCCAACTCTCTTCCCTTCCTTCTACTCCCCCCTCCCCCCTTCCATCCCTCCACCCTGTCCCCGACACTCCCTTACGCTGCGGTGATCCCCTTCAATCTTCGTCCCTCCTCGTCACTCCCTGAAACGTTCGTTCCTCAACGTGCGCGCACGTGAATCCCACCCCCGGATTTTCCAGGGGCGGCTACGTTCAGGGCTCGTAGGACGTAACTGCTCGCGCTCGGGAGGCGGCAGGGGCCGGCGGGTGGAGCACGAGGGTGGCTGCGCGGGATGGAAAGGGACGCGGGGTGGGGAATGCAGGCACCATGAGGTGGCGGGAGACGACGGAGGGAGCGCAGGACACCATGATGAACGTGATTGCCCTTTCCGGCTGGCAAACACTGGGGCTATTGGATTTTTATCAGCTGCTGCTGCTGCTCTGCTACCGTTGTTGCTGCTTTTGTCGCTATTGCTGATCGCACGTCGGTCGCGCGATCGGCGCGGCAATTTTTCACGAAGTTTCCAGCCGTATAACTAGGCGGCGGACGCTCGCACGTTCATTAGTTCTCTGAAATTCACACCTGGCATCATGTTCTTTTTGTGATGTGGAACGTTAATTTTAACGTTAGAGTCGCGAGGAAGAAGTGTGTCAGAGGCAGAATGCGAGAGATCAATTCTAGGATGGGGTGAAAGAGTTCGTTTGGTAAGGCGTGCTCTTCGGGAGAGATATTCTTTAAAGATTGACAGAACCACTTTAAAGTTATGTGAGGGTCGGTTAATCCAATAAGGCAGCTCCGATATATCGGTGCTTTATACAGAGTGTCTGATGACTACCGTGGCAACGTTCTTGTGCAGGTGAAACGCAGTAAATTGAATAGGAAATCACTTTTTTTGCCATTTTCGCAATAGTTAGCGAGAAATTAATTGAACAATATCAGCGAGGATACACAGCGAAGCATGCATGGCGAGCTCTGTAAGCACGACTCGAGGAACGTCTTGCAATTGTTTACAATTTCCTGGTAATGGCAGACAGCTAGTGATTCAAGAGATTGTTCCTTGAGCCTAGTCTATAGCTCCTTATATCACGATTATTTATTGAATGTAAGACCTACGGCTCACACAAAAACGTTAGCAATAAACAGTAAGCAAATTGACCAAGCATAATCGGCTATTCTCTTTACGGTCTAAGAATCGATCGTGGTTGGTCAATTGCTCATTACTTTTTATGTGCCATACATGGAAAAATAGTCTTGAATCAATGATATTTTATGTATAAACAAGAATATTATAATCTTCTTACAGAACTTTTAGTCTGGATTTCGTTGAATTTGTATTTGTATTGATGCAAGTATTATTTGCGTCCAATTTAAAACTAATAATCTTTCAAGAATGTTATAATATTTTTGCTTACACATGAGAATGTCTATCGCTGATTTAAAGTCTATTTCTGTTCTGTGTGGGCCTAAAGAACCATCTACAACAGCCGTAAAATATAAGACGCAAGCAATAAGCTAACTGACCTAGTCGGATTCTTACGGTCCAAAAATAATCGACTGTGATTAGTCAATTAGCTTACTGCTTACGTCTTACTGCGTACTTTACGGCTGTTGTAGGCGATCCTTAAGAGTTCCTTCGTTCTTCGATATCGCTTGAATTCTGAAAGGAAACGAAAGAGAAGGAAGATACCGTGGTTTGATATCGATCGACTTTTTTGTGACCTTTCTGCGACGATAGAAAAAAAAAACAACGGACGTAAACTCGAGAGTCCATTGTTCGTTTTTTACTCTTTCTCCTTTTTCGAAAGTTGCCTTGGATCCGCGCGATTGTCGGCTACGTCATGAACGCGCTCGCCGTACGTATATACGTGCCAAAGACAACGCTAATAATTCGTGTTTGGCCACGGACCAAACCTCGAGCAGACTGTAGCATGTGTGCCGTTGTTTGCCGAAGTGACGACGACGACGTCGGCGAGAAAGCGAATTAGGGTGAGAGCGCGCCCTCCCGCGCGCGCGCGCGCGCGAAGCGTTAATGTTAAACAAATACACCGCGACAAAATAAAGTGCAACAAGGCGTGTCGACAGATGTCCAGTACCTTCTGGATAAATATTTAATCGCCTCTTTATATACGGGAACTGTGCGAGAATTCTACCCCCCTCCTCCCCCTCCCGGCTTTTTTTCCACCCGCGCTTTTCGATACGCGTCGCGATGTGTCTCAACTTGCTTTGTTAATCCGATATCAATAATATCAATTTTTATGTTTATTTGAATATTAATAAAACGTCGTTTAATTCTACTTGTATATTTATTCATGACATTTTAACAATATTATCCAAAACACAGGTCATTTTTAATTTAAAAAATTCTGCTTTGTCGTTCCGTTAAACTAAACGACGTTTTCTCAATGTTCGTGTGTTTCACTGGAACAGATTGGAAAGTTCCGAGTCTGAAATACCTTTTATCTCTGTGTGACGTTGCGCATTAATATTAATGCACATAAATACAAGTAACACGCGTTGATAAACCGACACATTCGGCGATCCACGCTGCACCCTTCTCTCTCGAACGAGGCACTCGCTCAGCGATAGTTGCTCGCGCGCTCGATATTGTTTAGTCAAGCGCCGACTATTTCCCGTGTCGATGGCGATGGTCAAAGTAAATATCGCGGCATTAGGGATTCCGCGGGAGCGCCGCACGATCGTGCAATTTGTGCTTATCCGGTTCGGTTCACCCTACGTTTAGGCATCGTCGAGATTTTCCCTTCTCGGAGCCAGTTAACCGCGAATCCTGAACCCGCCGGTCTCCCGACCTCCAGGTCGATCTAATTCGGCACCGGCGAGATATATTCCGCAACATAATTATTTCGATGTTATCCGCTATATATACGCGCAGAATTTGAATATCCACCGCGCGCCGAGGCCCATAAATAAAAGCGCGGAATATGCGGCAATATTTTATACGAGTGCACTTAACTCGATCTTGTTTTCGCATTTAATTACGGGCACACTTAATGTTGAATAAAAGAAGAGGAGCGCGAAGGGAGTGACGTTCGAAAAATTTTCATTAGAAAAAATGGCCCATTAATTGCGATAATGGGGGGTTTTTTCCACGCAG